TGGTTAGGAGTTGGCTTGGGACGCCAGCTCTGAGCAGCAGGGCCCTGGTTCGGATCCCACATGAGGTCCAGTGACGCTGCGCCCTCTACAGCTAAGATGCTGAACAACAGCTCGACCTAGAGCTGGGCTGCCGTGAGTCGCTGGCAACGGCAGGACAGTGGGGCTGGCCAGCAGTGGGTGTGAGCTTTCGTGAGCTGCTGTGAACCGTCGTGAGCAGTCGTCCAATGGCCGGCGAGCGACTGCCTCACCCGGGAAGAGCGCAATGAGAATACCAACATGGGCCAGTGAAGGGATGTAATCCACAACTAGACTGAAGAACAAAAGGACAGCAACTTGTCTGTTTACCTTCCCGGATTCCCCAACGCTGTTCCCCTCCCCCAATTCCCATTAAAATCTTAAAAAAAATAAAGAGAATCGGAAAGCAGTGGGGTGGTGAGTGAGAGGCCCAGGACAACCCACCATGCTCTCTTTCTTGGTGGAATGGAAGACAGGCTTGCTGCGACTTCAGAAGCGTGGGGTGGGAGTAGGGGGCATCAGAGGGTGCTGCAGCAATGGGGAACATGAGGACAGGTGGCCAGATGCCAGTGCAGAGGAAAGGGGCCCAGGAGTGGCCCTGGTGTGAAAGCCAAGGCCACAGACCAGGAGTGAGATCTGCTGTCAAAGCTGAGTGTGCAGGACTGGCGGCCTCTTTCAGTTAACTGGGGAGACATCTGCCCTTTCCTCTGGCTTCTCCCCACTCCCAAGGCACCAGAGGAGCTGGCACCTAAAAGGAAGTGGGGACGCGTGTAAGAACACACCACACTTTAGCCTCCAGCTGCTCGGATGGCAGAGAGGCCCATACTCTGCCTGCCCTGGGAGTGGACAGATGAGCAGAGATTACAACTTTAAAGTGGACTGCCCAGCAGACTGGTGGTTTTTAAATCTCTGTATTGCAATGTGACGTAAACGCAGACAAGTGCACGAATCCTAAGCGAGCAGCTAGATGAGTTTTCACAAAGCAGACACAGTCGTCTACTAGCTCCAAAGGTCAAGAAACCATGTTATCAGCATGGCCCCCACCTGGCCGCCTTCCAGCCGGCCCCCGCCCTTCCTTGGGGTACTTAGGACTGCTGACACCCAGTGTGAATGTGGCCCGTTTTGTACTTTGTAGAAAAGAATCAGCACACTCTCTTGTGCCTGGCTTCCTTCTTTCCATGTTAGGCTGTGAGATGTCTCCAGGTTGTGTGTACAGAGCAGGTCGTATGGGTCTGATGAGAAATAGAAAGTTACTAGAAAAAGGGTAAAGGGGTGTGGTTCCTGCTTCCCAGAAGGAAAGGGTACATCACAGCCCACTTGGAGGCAAGTTAATTCTAAGTTAACAGCAAGTTACCACTTAAATCTTTTTATTTTTGAATCAAATATGTATAGTACCTTTAGGTGACTTGGGTGGACTGGTTATTGTTAGAACAAAAGAATAACAGGGCCACGTTTCTGGGTTTGCTCCTCACATTGATCTGGGTGCTGAGGTACCGTCCATGGGTGACATCTGTCCTCGCAACCACGGTGCCCACGTGCATTACCAAGAGCAGTTAGAGGAGAGAGCAGCATATTGGAAGTAGGCTTCACATGGAATGAGATGGAGATGCATTGGAAGAAAACCAAAGCTGAAGAATTGAGTATCACGTGTATACATTATCTCATTATGCAAATTATAAATTTCTACGAGACTTAAAAAGACTCCACTCATTAGCTTATAACCTACTCATGAACAAGTAGAGATACAAGCACAATATATTTTCATCTTAAAGATTTTATCTGTTTTTCTTATGAAAGCATTCCACATTCATATTAGCCGTATGAAAACACTAGTGATTATATATATATATATATAAATGTACATGTACATTTTTTTATTTTTTATTTTTATTTTAAAGATTTTGGGGAATTGGGGGAGGGGAACAGCACTGGGGACTCGGGGAAGGGGAACAGACAAGTTGCTGTCCTTTTGTTCTTTGGTCTAGTTGTGGAGGACGTCGCTTCACTGGCCCATGTTGGTATTGTGATTTTTGATTTCTTCCCAGGGAAGGCAGTCACTCGCTGGCCATTGGACAGCAGCTCACGGCAGCTCATGGCAGCTCATGGCAGCTCACACCCGCTGCCAGCCAGCCCCACTGCAGCATACGCCATCGCCGGCAATTCATGGCAGCCCAGATCCAGGTTGAGCTGTTGTTCACCATCTTAGCTGTAGAGGATGCAGTGTCACTGGCCCTCATGTGGGATCCGAACCGGGGTCCTGCTGCTCAGAGCTGGTGTCCCAAGCCAACTCAACCAACATGCCACTCGGCCAGCACCATTTTTTTATTTTGAAACTAATTTCAAAATGACAGAAAAGTTACAAGAGTGATACAAAGAATTCCTACTTCTCTTTGTCCACAGACCCCATTCATGTTTATCCAGCTGTCCTAATGTCCAATCCAGGGGCACACGCTGCCTTTAGATGTTGTGTCTCATCAGCTTCCTTCAGTGTGGAACAGTTCCTCAGTCCCTCTGTGAGCTGGTTATAGGACAGTTATTTTGTAAAATGTCCTCAACTTGAATTGGTTCACAGCATCCTCATGACTAGATTCGGGTTATGCATTTTAAGCAGGAATGTCACAGAAGCACGGTGTGTTCTTTCTATTATTCACGCCAGTAGTACGTGGTATCGGTCATGTATTCCATTAGATGGCAGTCTGCCAGCTTGTCTCCACCACTTCTGATGTTAACTTTGATCCCCTGGGTGAGGTGTGTCTACAATTTTGTTCCTCTGTAAAATTACCCATGTTCCCTAGATAACTAGTAATTATTTTGTAGGGAGATCATTTGAGTCAGATTCTATTTCTACATTTCTAAGTTGGAGTTCTACTCTAAGGAAGAGCTTTCTCTTCTCCCAGTTTATATAATATATTCATTTATATCAGTGATGACCTTTATTTAATAGGAATTAAATTATTTAATCTCTTACCATGATTTATGTTGATGCTCAAATCGTCCCATATTTGGCCAGTGGAAGCCCCTACAGGCCAAGCTTCCGTGTCTTTTTGACATTTTCCATAATTCACTGAGCATTTCCTTACTTTCTGGCAAGGTGTTTGAGGCCCATCTTATATTTTTGCTGGCCCAGCCCTGGAATCAGGCATTTCTAAAGGAGCCCTGGTTTCGGTGTTCTCAGTGCACACTGTGTGTGTGTGTGTGTGTGTGTGTAGCCACATTTTCATACCAATTGCTCCAATTTTAATCCAACCCTATGTGTGTGTGTGTGTGTGTGTGTGTGTAGCCACATTTTCATACCAATTGCTCCAATTTTAATCCAACCCTATTGAGTTCATTCTAGCTTTCCCCCTTTTCATAACCCAAAGGGTTAGAGAGGATAAAAATTGAGTTTTAGTGTAAGAAGACAGCTTACTGAAATGTTCGTAGCATTGGTTCCTATCAATTGGAAAAGTTCATGCTTTCCTTGAGGCCTCAAGCTATTTCAAATCTACATAATTCCATTTTTGGTGGGATTGTTTTTGCCAAGGTTGTGTATGGGGAAAACTGAATTCTTAATACCATCAGGATCATGATGGTATTAGATGGCAACCCAGAAAAGACTGGTTGCATTAAATTCAAATTGTATTACATGCAATTTAGTGTGTGAAGAGCACAGTTATAATTTGAAGAATGCTCTGATTTTGCAAACCAGAGTAGGTTTTCTTCCAAAATGGATGATTACCCTTTGGCGTGTTTGCTAGAGGGTTACTTCTCAAATGTCCATTTAAGCTGGTTAGTCTCATTTGCTGATAAGCAAGTACAAGAAAACGATGTTCCTGAGGCAATTCTGAGGCTACTCCCTGGAACACACACAGACTTAACCAAATGTACTCATATTGTGCACCTACCATCAGGGATGTATTTTATTGGCCTACTAAGACACCCAAGCACTTGTTAAATACTGGATTGCTATTACGTCATTTTACAGGTCAGGAAATCGAAGTTCGAGTAATTTTAGTAACTTAGCCATTTTTTTCAGAGAAAGTGGCCAAGGTAGGACTTGAACCGAGGCAATGTGGTTCCACTGGCCCCAGGCTTAGCCATCACACTCAACTGCCCCCAACCAAGTTGTTTAGGGAGAAGCTTTTGGAGGATTATATCATCTGAAAAACGACATTCTGCATTCTGATCATAGATATGCTTCATTACCAAATTGAAACAGGCAATTATGTAGGGAATTTAGAACAAGACCATTTTCCTGACCTGCTAGAATCTCCTTCATGGTGATAGGAAGTTGAGTCTTTAGGGTAGGGGTGAAGGTGAGAGGCAGGGGAAAAATGAAAGTAGGGATGCTCATTGTCCAGCTTTGCCCTTCATTTTGCTTTATGTAGAGCTATTGATTCAAGCACTGGGCAGTATTGATATGAACTACATCTATTGCTCGTTAAACTGCTCTAAAAAGCCAGAGATAGCCTGTGTGCTCTCCCCTCACCCATCACCAAGCTAATGGACTGCATACTGAGGCACCTGTCACCCTGAAAGTGGCTGACAAGAGAGCCTGATGCTTGTTATAAGCGTCTCTCCTCTTCCTCCAAACCACCTCTCACCATGGGTGGGCAGCATGACTGAGCTGCTGAAGAGTGCTGACCTTGGCTCTGAGCTTGATTTGTGTTTCAGACTGCTGGGCTGATCGATCCCCACTTCATGAAGCTGCGGCCCAGGGGCGCTTACTGGCCCTTAAAACTTTAATTGCACAGGTAAGAAAACCGAAGACTTGATCCTTTGTGTTTATGATATAATCAAGCATCTTTCTTTATTAGCTTTGCCTGTAGCAGAGGTCTGGCTTGCTGGGCCCCCGTACGGGCATTCTAGGTGTATGTATCTGTCACGTCCTGCGTGGCAAGGGCAAATGGGACACGAGAGGGGCGGCGCAGATTGAATAAGATCAAGAGACAGAAGTCAGATTTGACAGCAAGACCAAGGGACTCAGCCTAAGAAAGACTGAGCCCTGAATTAGGTCAATGCTTGGCATTTATTGAGAATTTTCAAAAGAAGCAAAACTGCAGAACAGTGAATCATTAACCGTGTATACGTGGGTGCCTTAAGGCTTGTTCCCATAACCGGACCCCTTTGTACTCCAACAAATGCTATGCCTTCGTACATCACTGCACAGTCCCAGGACACTCTGTTACATGTCCTCCCAGGGGAGACAACTGATATCATTCCATCAGGTCTCAGTTTTCCAAGACGCCCCCTGAGAGAGCTTTACAGATATCATTCCATCCGGCCTCAGTTTTCCGAGACACTCTCTCGACTACAGGGTAGGAGGCTAATGCAGAGGGGATGGTCGTGGGATTGGCTGTAAGGCAACATGTATCCTTTGACAGCTCACCATTTGTTTCTCCTGCCTCTCCATTCTTGGGATACTGGCTCATTTTCTGCCCAGTTCCATCCTTCCCCTTCGGGGCCTTGCTCTACTTCATCGGTAGTTTCCCTGTGGGTGTGATGGGGGATTCCCTCACATTTATGTTGCACTAACTCACCTTACACTCTCCCGATGTGCCTTCGTAGCAGCAGCCCTCAAGTTGCATCAGTCAGCTATTGCTGTGTAACCAGTCACCTCAAACCATAGTGGCTGAAACACAACACTTAGATTCTCATGGTTTCTGTGGGCCAAGAAACAGGTTACGGTAGCTGGGTGGCTCCGAGTCTCTTACAAGCTGTGAAGTTTCAGCCAGGGCTGCAGTCATCTCCTAGCTCGACTTGGGGAGAATCTGCTTCCAACCTCACCCATGTGGCTGTTGGTCAACTTCAGTTCCTTGCCACGTGGGCCTCTCCATAGGGTAACGCCTGCATCATGAGATGGCCACTGGCCTCCCCCAGAGAGAGCGTGAGAAAGTGCCTAAGAAGGAAGCCTCAGTATAACCTCATCTCCAAAGTGACGTCACTTCTGCCATAGTCTCCTCATTAGGTAGGTATGAGTCAGTAAATCCAGCCCACCCTCAAGGGGAGAAGAGGATACAAGTGAGCCAATACCAGCAAACTGATAACACTGTTTCAAGAGCGAACATTAAAATAGGTTGACAAACAGGTAAATCTTACTCCTTCGGGAAGACTTATTAAAGTCTTAGTTACCAAGGCTACTTTATTTTAATTTATGACTGTATCCCTGGCACCTTGAACAATGAATGGCGGCCAAGTAAATATTTGTGAAACGAATGAAAGCGTACACGCGCCATTTGTTTTGTTCTAGGCTCTATGTGTGGACAGAAGAGGTGAGTCATTGTATCTTTATTCCACATCCTAGTTACCACCGAAGCTGGCTTCCTTACCAGTTTCAGTTTAAACAGCTGGGCACACTGCTCTTTATTTGTGTAGGTGTGCCTTTTTTTCCCTCTCCTTTATGAATTGCGTTAGTTCTCAAGAAAGTACAGACAAAAAGAACACAGTACTGCCAATAATGATCAAATAGGTTTCATCGCTTGCTTATTTATTTTTAAGCATTTTAAATTGGATTGGATTAGATTCTTTTCAGATGTAATATATTCACAGAATTCAAAAATTAAAATGATATAAAAAGGTGCACAACGCAAAGGCTTGCTTCCACCTCCTCCCTCTCAGCCTCCCACCTCAATCCTTTTATGAGTAGTTTTAATAGGCTTTTCATTTTGGAATGATTTTAAAGAAGCCTTGTAAAGGTAGTACAGAGTTCCTGAATACCCTTCACTCAACTCATAGCGATAACATCTTACATAACCGTGGTTCTTTAGTTAGAAATAAACAGTTAACACTGGTGCAATGCCAATCACTGAACTGCAGATGATTGGGATTATATCAGTTTTCCCGCTAGTGTCCATTTTCGCTTCCAGGATTCAACCCAGGATACCACATTACACTGAGCACTTCTTTATTTTTAACTCTACTTCATACGCAATACGCACGTTGGTTTCTATAGTGTGCTGAAATGTGTAAGGAGCATTCTTCCTAGAGAAGTTCAACTTTTCCTAAGTACACCCTCACTTCTTTGCCCTCACACACTAGCCAAATGTATCCTATTTTTATTTTTCACTTTGTTTCACCTTAAGATAGTGTGGTGTGCTGAGTAAAACATTAAACTGAGGACCGGGAGCTCCTGGTTATCGAGCTGGCTGTCACCGACAGCTGGGGAGCCTCCAGTCTTATTAAGAAGTTGAATTTTCTGCTTCTGCGTTTTCTCACGCACCGCGAAGGGCATTCACGCTAGATGGTCTTTCAGGCCTGCCCAGCTTGCCGCTTCCAAAATTCCAGGTGTTCTGAAAGTTTGCGCTGATCGTTTTTTTTCCCCTGGTACATTACTGCCACCTTGTGGTCTAGCCGTTTTTCTTTTCTTGGACAGAAAATCAGATCACGAGAAAAGTAAAAGGGAAAGACTTTTCTAATTGCGTTAGATACCCAACTTGAAATACAATACATAGCACCGCTCTGGAGTAAATGATGTCATATTCAGGACATGAAAATGGACAGAACTGAGGAGGCACAGAGAGACCCTAAGATGAAGGGACAGGCACCACCACGGAGGTCTGGCAGGAGATGGTGGGTACTTAGGTTAGGGATTGGGGTTCGGGGACATGCACTAGGTTTGGGAAGCCTTCGGCAGGTGAATTACAAGGCAGGGAATCCAAAACAACTCAGCCTGGAAGGATCAATCAGGGACCTAATTCCCTTCATAGAGAGCAAGTGGAAATCATGGGACAAAGTGGTGAGGGCCACGTTCTTAAAATCAGGGCATGAAGTCAGACTGGGCCAGCAGCCGGGCCGGTCCTGTCGTCTGTCACCTGGACTCTAACATGAGAAAGGTGGAGCACGGCAGTGTGGGGAAGGGGGCAGTATGCTAGCACTGGGCCCCCTGGACCTGGGTAAGGAGATGGGGCTAGGAGAAACCCCTGGCGCCCAACCCTGGTATGCAGATGCCCCTGCACACAGCGGAGTTGTGGCGGACAGCAGCACTGCTACTGTGGCCTAGGAGCCCCGGGACATGGCCCACTTTACTTTCTTCTCTATAGCCTGGGGGTCATCCTTTTGTTCCCAATCTGATTCCGGCACTTTAAGTGTGTTTTCTCTTCCTTACGATTTCCTTAACATTTTCTTTAGCTTACTTTATTGTAAAAATACAGTACGTAATCCATGCAACATACAAAATATGTTAATTGACTATGTTATCAGTAAGGCTTCCAGTCAACAGTAGGGTATTCGTAGTTAAGTTTTTGGGGAGTCCAAAGTTACAGATGGATTTTTGACTGCGTGGGGGGTGGGGTTTGGGTCCCTAACCCCTGTATTGTTCAAGGTGTAACTACTTATTTTTTCGCCTTCCTAGCTTGAATTTTTTTATGCTTCAAGCCTTAGCTAAGTACTACCTAATTTGCGAAGTTTTTTCTTTCTTCCCAAGCCAGATTCAAGGATACCCCATGCGCCCAACTGAAATTTGAACATGCTTCCAGTACAGCAATATATTTTTGCTGCTTCCCGCCGCACCCCACCCCCATTTCTGTTTCCCCACTAGGTTCTTGGAGGAGAGAGACCTATGTCATAAGCTTTGAAGACCCAGGTACTAACACATTGCCTGGCCCAGAATGCTGAATAAGCATTTGCTGAATACATGAATTCAAGGCTCCCACGCCATATTTAGATTTCCCTGGTCATGGCCTCTATTCTGTGTGATCCCCACAGGCCGACAGAAACAGCTCCAACCATGTTGCTTTCATTGATTTTGCTAATGCAGCCTTTACCTTGAACCTACTTCTCTCCAAATTGTAGGGTGTCAATGTGAACCTCGTGACTATTAACCGGGTCTCTTCTCTCCACGAGGCGTGCCTTGGAGGTCACGTAGCCTGCACTAAAGCCTTGCTGGAAAATGGTGCACACGTGAGTACCACCCCTGCCCCACAGGTCAGTCTGCCCAAGTGCAGCTGCTACCATCTAGAAACATGACCTTCCAGACTGTTTGCCCGCTTTAGGTACAGGTGTGACCCCATCCGCATCCGCATTCCTGAATGGTCGGGAAAGCACTGCTGCTTGCCCCTCTTCTCAGGCTCCCTGCCCATTTGGGAACATTTAGATGAGGTCATGCACAGAAGCCTTTCAAAATTGCGATGCTAACTTTAGAAAAATCAGTTGAACTAAAAAGTAATTTGAACACTGATCTTGGAAAGTTTATTGTAAAACATTAAAAAGAACACATTTGAAAGAACAACAAAAACACTCTTAATTGAAAACCCTAAGTGAAGAACTGTTTTTATTGAGCAAATTATTAAAGCAAATGAGCTTCTAATAAATAATACATGGCAAAAAAACTACAAAACTCACTTTATCTTATTTTTAAATTCTCTCCAAGGAGTGTCTGAGGTGCGGTATGTAATCAGATATCAGAATATAGGCTTATAAAATTAAAACTTTTGAAAATCTCAGTGACATTTATTTAGTTGCCAGATACTGTTTTGTTGCTAATTTTGTTTTTAAACTCAGTCCTTGCATTCTTTGTTTCACGAGCTGCAATGTATTTAAGTGCTTAATGAAGATTTGCTGTGCATTTTATATGGAAGTTGGGTTTCTACATGTAGAACTGAATAGCAAAGTCTCCTGTGGGTAAACTGATTTCCCCAATGCCACTGTGGTTGTGTGTTTTCAGTAGGTAGCACTTACTTAAGTTACCACTTAGTCCACTTACGTGTAATGATGAGGTCAAGGTTGGGGGAGCGCCATTTCCTTTCCAGCTAGATGACTGGAGTCTCCGGCGGCAGTCTGTGAGTAGGAACTATCAGACAACATCGGGGAGGTTTTGTGAGGATCAAAGAGGAAGACATGGTCCCTTGTCTTTGGCAATTTTATGAGGGCACAGTCAATGCCTATGATATTATTTAATATTTACATCAAAATGAGAAGAAACAAGGGAAAGTTGGTCCATCAGTAGAAAATTCCTCAAAATTGACGGTCTCATGGGTACCTCAAACCCAGTGTATCCGTAACCGTGCTTATCATGCTCTTCCCCCTGGAACCGGCTGCTCCTCTTGGGTTCCCAGCCTCAGAGACCAGGTGAAGCAGATTCCTCGTTTCCGAAGCCCCAAACCTGGGATCAGCCTGTTTCTTCCATCTCCTCATCTGCTTAATCACAACATCCTTCTAATTTTACTTCCTAATGTTTCTCAAGTCTATGCTCTCCTTTGGCCTGCTCCTATAGTGGTCTACAACATTTATTGTTGTATCAAAATGATCTCTTCTTCTGTTTGTCTTCCCCGCTGGAATTCAACCTATTTAACCTATTCCTTATGATTTCCTTAACATTTTCTTTTCTCTAGCTTACTTTATTGTAAGAATACAGTACATAATACATGTAACATACAAAATATGTTAATTGACCGTTTGTTATCAGTAAGACTTCCAGTCAACAGTAGGCTATTAGTAGGTAAGTTTTGGGGGAGCCCAAAGTTATAGATGGATTTTTGATTGCGTGGGGGGTGCCTTACTCACTTTTGTTTCCCAAATGGGCACCTAATAGATGCTGAATGATGCTGACCTGAAATGACAGAGAAACTTACAGGAAATCAAATTAGAAGGCTTCCTGGACTGAGGAAGAGGATAATACTTAGTAAAAACAAATCAAACCAGTTCCACCAAGTATTTTTTAGGAAAAATGTAAATAGGTTAGAAACCCCTAGAATGTATACATTTACACGCATTTTCCCTGTCCTTGTCTGTCTCTGCCATCTCCGCATCTCATCTTTAGCTTTCTGGTTTAATGGGGCTGTCCTGGCACTGTGGAGAAATACCTTTTTTGTCTCTGAAAGAAGGAAATTAGGGATCCTGATTATTACAAGCATATATCCTTAGTTGTTGAAGGGATATGGTTTGACATGAAGCCCTCATTGTCTCACATTTCAGTCCTATCAGAACCTCCCCACCAGAATGCTTTGTTCCTGATGTTCTTTCCAATCTGTTGGGAATACTCAAAGATGCCTCCCACCCATGTTCTTAACCACCATACAGGAGCTCTTGTCAACGACTAGGAGGCTCCTAACAAGCTCTGAAATACCCCTGAATGTATTTGTAAAGCTTTGTCCCATTTTGTCTCAGCTGGAATGTCATTTATAGGTGAAAGTTGATAGGCTACTGGTGCCTAACTAACATAATGCTGCAATGATGTCGAGTTTCCTTGCTCAGTCACCAGCATGGGAAATTTCTCCAGGCAGATGTACAGGAATGCCACGTGGAGATGGTGATAAATACCAAATCCTTTTCGTCTTTGCCCATCACTAGGTCAATGGAGTGACGGTTCACGGAGCCACGCCCCTTTTCAATGCTTGCTGCAGTGGCAGTGCCGCGTGTGTCAACGTGCTGCTGGAGTTTGGAGCCAAGGCCCAGCTCGAGGTGCACCTGGCTTCCCCCATCCATGAGGCAGTGAAGAGAGGTGAGTCATCACATTACACACACACATTGGTGCACTCACTCCAGTCTGCATGAATCAGTGGTGTAGTGCTCACCATGCAAGGATCGCCCAGACCTTCACCAATAGACTGTGTGTGGCTTAGAAATCCCACAGCAGTAACTTCAGTTTGCCTGAATCTTCAGGAAATACCACAGGTCTTCTTATAACCTGGGGAGGGCTTTGTGTCTCAGAGGTCCCATTTCCTGGGGACAGTCTCTCAGCAGGCTGTTCTTGAGACTCTTTGCTGGTGTTTTGGTGGCAGCTGGTGCAGTCAAGACTACAGAGGTGACTTCCATGAGTTGTACTGTGCTTATGTCTCTGTCCTTACTAGAAAAGAATAGCTCATCCCCCAAGCCCATAAAACATCAACCACTAACATAAAATAAATTACGAAAGTGTCTGAAAGCGAAGGCTGATTGTCTCTCTAATGAAAGATTAAACATAATTGTCCACAACAGACAATACACTCTAGAGGATATGATGACTTCAGGGTCATTAATGATGGAAAAGAAAGGTGCAAATTTTAAAAAGCATGGCACTAGAAACCATGAAATTGACTCTAGAGTCCTGTGTTCTCAGTTACTTTTGAAATGAGGGAAAAGAGTAAAATTAAGGAATTTAAAAATTATATGCATAGATTAGACATGAACAAGAAGATGCCATTGAAAGGCCAAGGCCATTTGTCAAGGTCACACCTAAAGAGCAACATTTCTGTGTGACCCAGGTGGCATAATTGGGGATGAAAGATTTGCCCCAGGTTATTAAATATGTCCTTGGTAATTTTTTTGCAGTGTATTACTTTAAATGTTACAAAAGACCTAAATCTCAATGTGTCTATGGTTTTGATGTCTCACATATATTTAATAAACAATTATTGATTAATGACTGATGTTGGCCATTTCCCAAACTTCAAGTAAGTCTTTTAAGTTGTAGGGAAATAGTCTACTTTGGAAATGATATAGAAGTCTTTAAGTTTTTTAAATATGGATTTGAAGTAAAAATTAATCTATTATTTGCATTTTATCCAAACATGTAAAAGTAGATAAATATTGGGAATGGTTTGAATTGCCTGAGTAATTCTGCAGTGCAGGGATGGTTATATATGGAGTGTTTGGTATCTGTGTGCCTATAAAATATATATATATATATATATATATATATATATATATATATATATACACACATGCTTATCGTAAACACATGAATCCATGTGTCACTCCATATTTTTTTCTGTATCATAAAAGCACATTAGGGACCAAATGTCACAGAATGGGAGGATGAATAGAAAATTCATTATCTTACATATTGTTACACTAGTGCTAATCATTTGACTTTTATATTGGGTTGTCAGAAAAGACGTATTTTTTCTATGTGTTTTGTTGCAAAAATGCGTCATGACTTTTCTGACAATCCAATATATTCATTAAAAAAATGTATTTAGTTTTTTATATTAGTTTCAGGTATATATTCATTTTTTAAAGCTTCTCGAGAATACTTAAATTTAACTCAAACTAGGCTCCGTTTCGTCTGCAAAAAAAAAAGACAGGAATTACTCAGAAATGTTTGTTAGATACCCTGTATTTGCCAGGAAGTTTTAGGTACTGATTAGATACTATTTCTAGATTCTTAACGCTTTAAACCTCTATAAATAAGCTGGGTCAGTCTGATCAATATTTCGACATATCAGTGCTACAACCCAGGTATAATGTTTACTTATGTGAACAAATAGTTTGCACAGAATCTTTATTTGTACCTTTTAATGCATATTTATCCTTAACTCAGAATTTGTGGTAAATCCAGCAGGTTTGAGATGAAGCTCACTTTTGTGCTATCTATAAAGAAAAGGTTGGTTAAGTTAATCAATGACGATAAGATTTTTTTCAGGAAACATTTAAATCTTCAAAGAGAACAAACTCTACAAGCTCCCACTGATGCCGCTGAAACATTCGCCCCTGAACAAAATCATTCATATGCTGCAAATGAACCATGTCTGTCTGTTCATTGGGCAAACTCTCTAAAGAGAATGCTTGGTAAACAGTTCTTGTTAGCCATTGAATCGGAAAGTACATTTAAATATATTCTCTACTTGAGGTTTTTAACTAATTCTCGTAGGTATCTTCCAGGTTAACCAAAATAAGGAGGTTTTACTGCGGCATGGTGAAGAGAATGAGACATTTGTAATGGGGCGGGATCAGGGCTGGGCCTGGAATTTGAACACTGGCTTTTCAGAGTAATAATAGGCTGAGTCATTGACCCCTCTGGGTCTTCCATTTGTAAATTGGTGGCCTCGTTCTACAGGATTTCAGCCCTTCATTTAGTTGGAGGTACCTCAGAGGCTGCAAAGAGGAATTTAAGTGGGGAAAGCGTGGGCATGTTTCCCTTTCTAATGGTTTTATTTTGGAGACTTCTAAGATTTCCAAAAAAAAAAAGGTTTTTTTTTCCAGCTTAAAACATGTCTGTTATTTCTAAAGCCCATTCCAGGTAAGCGAACCTAGAATTCTGTGAGTAGTCAGTATATCCCTTACTTGACTCAGGTTATCTTGTGCTCCACCAGGTCATCGAGAGTGCATGGAGGTTCTGCTGGCAAATAACGTTAACATTGACCAAGAAGTGCCTCAGCTCGGAACGCCCCTGTATGTGGCCTGCACCCACCAAAGGGTAGACTGTGTGAAGAAACTTCTAGAGTTAGGTAACTTCCAGAAATCTTGTCATGAGAAAAACCTATTGCTCTTGTTGGTTTTCCATGGCTTCGAAGATGAAGTTCTTGTCAGGCTGGACAAAATTCTGACAGCATTTGATGCTTGAATGCTTAAAACAGAACTTCTCCAGAGAAATGAGTGTCTGTATATTTTAGCTCTGCTTCCTTTGATATTGGCTCCATTTACTTCGTATGGGTCTACCTGGGGGTCTCAAGAGAGAGGCAGAGTCTCTTTCCTGTAAGTCTTAGGGGAAAAAACAATTGTATTTCCTTGGCTCTTTTTGAGTCACATGCTCAAGGGAATGCAATGCACTAATTGGCTTAGGCCTAGATTTCAGTCTACACTGCAGTGTGAGGTTGTGGGGACAGTTTTCCCACAATGAGACCAAAAGCTGGCCAAAAGCTACCCACAATGAGACCGATGATGAAAAGAATCACACAGAGACGTGCGGGTGGAGGGGCTTTTGCCTGACGAAAAGACCCCGAGGGTCGTTCGCATCTTCCTTTTATTGAAGGAGACAGACAAAGCCCTTTCTAGGATCTGCGTCATAAGCGGGTGATAAACGGATGTGGGGGATAAGCAGTCAGTACATAGGGGGTTTCCTTGTTCCATCCTGAGCCCCCTTAATCTGTGTCTCTGGCCCTATACATACTGCCCCTTTCCTATCTAGTCCTTGAGCCGTTGCCAGCCTCCTTCGGCTGACGCGTACCTGAGTTGCTGTCTTGCTCTGGCCTTTCAGAGCAGGTGCCCTGCAATATTGCAATCCAGTGCTGTGTCCCTACACTGCAGTTGTTGGGCTTCACTGGAAAAACATGAACTGGGAATCACAGGGGATTGTTCCCCAGAGGGAACCTGGGTGTGGTTACCAGGAAGATGCTGGATAGTAAAAACAACAGACATTTGCCATAGACTACATTAGATCAATACTGCTAAGTTATTTAGTAATTTTTTTTAATTCTAAAAGGCATGTCCAGAAGCAGAGTCCAGGGGAGAGTGAAATGTCTTGAAACTATTATTTGTTTAAAGATTCCCCCAAATTAGCCACTGACATAAAAATGGAAATTATAGCAAGAACCTTTAAATAAGAATTTTTATCTCCAAGATTTTTCTTGCCTTTTTTATCTGCCATCATATACTACTCCCATAGCAATTCAGAAATCTTTTTTGTGAGCCCTGAATAATATAAATAATAAATAAACTTAGCTTTCTCCTTTGCCAAAAACCAAAATTACTCTCTGTAAAAAGAGCTGCAAATATTTAATTTTGTATGTCACAAAGTTCATATGCAAAAGGAAGTAAAGTATTTAAAATGACTAAAAATATTTTTATTCACTTTTCTTACAAAATATTTTGAAACTGTCTTAATAGGCATTGCTGAGGTTCTAAACTTACATCACATTTTCAAAGATTTGTCAAATATGTCATGGCATTTAAGATGTCTTTACAGCTACTAGATTTTAGGCTCATTGTGTTTCTACATTTGACATTGAGTTCTGAATTGTGGCCATCTCTTTTGTGAAGGAGCCAATGTTGACCACGGCCAATGGCTGGACACCCCCCTCCATGCTGCAGCAAGGCAGTCCAGTGGGGAAGTCATCCACCTGCTGACAGACTACGGAGCTAACCTCAAGTGCAGAAATGCTCAGGGCAAAAGTGCACTTGATCTGGCGGCCCACAATAGCAGTGTGGAGCAGGCGCTCCTGCTGCGTGAAGGTAGGGAAGGGCTGGGTGTCCATTTCTGGTCCGTAACGCATCTCTCTCTTCTTCCTATCTTGTCTTAGACTTTCTCGCCTTTTTCCTTTTCTCTTTTTAATTGGAACTGGTATGCAGGGGGTGGCATGTCCTAGCATCACTGAGATGGGATTTTATATGCTGTATATATTCACTTATAATCAAAGGGTATTTACATATAACTGGTATGTCGCTTGGTATTTTCCATAACAAGAAAATAATCAGAGAACTTTGTTTTCACCGTGAAAAGGTTGAACTGCTCCATCTCTCCTGGCCTAAGCATACAGTTGAGCAGACCAAACTCTGCTTTTTAATACCTAGAGGCGATTCAGGGAAAGTTAGAAATACTTGAGTTAGATGATAAGGTGGACACTGAGTGTGTATTTCAGAAAGGAGACCAAATGGTGCGGTTGTTTGCCTGTTCTCCAGATCAGGGAGTAGGTGGGTCTGCATTCCTCATTGCCTCACTCCCATTTCTACCATGAGCTAATGCAGCTACACATGCCAGCGGAGGAAGGGCGGGCCTCCAGAGTGCTCTGTATTCCAAATTCCAAAGAGAACCATGTTATGACCATACAGAAAGAGAACACTATCAGAGCCTATATTGATCATTTGTATGCTCGGGAGAATATTAACCATAATAGTAATTATTCATCTTGACGTGTGTCAGGCCCTGAACTAAACTCGAAACATAGATTACCTCCTTGAATTCTTAAAACTTTAAGGTAGCAAGAACTTTACAGTAACTGATGCTGTCTCAGTTCATCGGAACAGAGAAGCGTGAAGAAATGGGCTTGCAGAAGGTTACACGGCCTCTGAGAAGCAGAGCCAGGATACTAAGCAAGCAGCCTGACCCCAGATTGTGTTATTAATGTTATCATGGCCCAATCGTGAACCTTCTGGAACAGTTTCTAGTGGAAAAGGGTTTTCTTTCCCTCGCTAGTTCCATTTTGTGAAACCACCCCCATGCCTCATATACCTTCCAAGTGGAATGTTCGGTTCAATACTTTTAGGCATACTCTCCAGGTCAGTGCTTCCTAAGCTTTAAAGGAGCACAGAAATCACCAGGGGATCTCATTGAACTGCAGATTCTAATTCAGCAGGTTCTGTGTGCCCACCAGGCTCCCAGGTGGTGCTGATGCTGCTGGCCTGAAGCCACACTTTGAGTTCCACTGGTCTAGATTATTTCCAATGGTCTGTCATTAATGATTGTTCTTTTATTTGAATCTCCACTTGAAGAATTAGTATCTTCCTTTACCAGTCCCCAGTTTGGAAATACCAGGTACAGGAAAACCTTGGATTGCACGTGTTCCGCAAGACGAGCAAACATTTCTAATACATTTTAACGTGGTAAATGAGCGATGTCTTGCAATACAAGTAGTTTCTTTCTGGAACAAATTATGCTCGCAAACCAAGGTATTTCTGTACTTTCCAACTATTAGCTGAGAATATAGTTTATAGCAGTTGTCACATTTCCTCTTTTCTTCCATCAAAAATGTTTCCGGGTCCAGGATTTGTATTACTTATAAGCAAGCTCCTCTGTCCTCATAAATATAGCCACTTGCTCTAGAGGGATGAACACCAGCTGTGTCAGAGATCACTCTGGTGTCTGAACTTGTCTAGGCAAACTGGCCAATTTGCTGCATTACTGTTTCCAGAGGAGCTTTCATTGGGTGACAGGTAGGGATGCTTTCCACTCTGGCTTCCCAAGATTTTAACTAAGGGCGATTGTTTGTTACTCCAGGTAGCTTTCTATATCACATGGATGCTTCTTGGCGATATCAATTCAAGTGTTATCTGGCTGTTGGTACATACAGTCCGCCATTTCTCATGGGCATCTTTGTAAGATGCCATTACAGTAGGGTATTCTTGAAAAGGAAAGCTTTGTATAGTCCACTAATTACATAGGTCCACTTGAAGAGATTGTTATTGATAGAGTCGGGTTAGGAAATAGTAGGACACTACAAATGTCCTGTATAACTAGCATTCCAGCCCAAAGCTCCTTCATGCTACTCACTCATATTTTGGACTCTTGTTAGTTTATATTCCTTTAGGACTTAAAGCCATTCAAGTCCTAAATGATGACTCCGTGAGACTTTGTGAGACAGAGGTTCAGGGTATAATGGGGTCTGAGTGAACTGGGTCCTTTCTCCAGATCCTCTGTTGAGCTGGGATCCTTGAGAGAATGGAGGGCCCTCCGAGTGTGAGTCGGAACCCAGCCAGCACTGCCTCCTGGGCAGCTAGAGCCAGGCAGTCCAGGAGGACGCTGAGGTCTGTGTGCCAGCCCCCCCGCCCCCCATCTCCTGATGCGCCTCTGTGACCACGTAGGCTGGGCTTCCTGCTGATGGCCTCTTGACAGTTGTCCCTCGTTCTGCAGCTCTGCCTTGGGGTCCTGCATGTTTAGTGCTTCTATTTGTGTCTTCTCAGCCAGTGTATCACCTCCATTGGCACATGCGGTACAGGAATAAAGTGCATTCCCTTTAGACCCCACACTTCATTTCTAACTTGCCTCTGGTTGGCATCATTCTTCAGTATCAGTAATACAATACCACTGGAGGCTTAGCTAAAGAAACATCCCCACCCAAGAGGCAAACCGGGATCCCTGTGTGTATTGAGTGTCTGCCACCTCGCTGTCTAATTCCTGTGCAGATCCATCTTCTCCTAAGTTTTTAGAAAGTTTCAGCCTCTTCCAGTCCTCTGGTCGCCCCTTCCCACCCAACCCCCACAACCATCCCTGCCCCACTGTCATGAGGCTCACACCATTTTAATTCCTTCCTCAGGCCCGCCTACTCTTTCCCAGCTCTGCCGCCTGTGTGTCCGGAAGTGTTTGGGTCGAGCATGTCATCAAACCATCCACAAGCTACATCTTCCAGAGCCACTGCAAAGATTCCTCCTCTACCGGTAGTCCCAACTGTCCATGGGAAGTTCTTGGAAATAATCAGGTTGTTGCCTGCTGTACCCGGGGTACCTAGTATAGATGCGCAACAGCTACACTCACAGTATCTTCAAATGAGCTAAGCCAGTTAGAGAGTAAATTCCTGATGAATCGGTATACTTGGGGAGTGAAAGCTCCTGGTTACTTTAATGTTCTCAGAAACTTTTTTGTTTTTAGCTCTCAGTGTTAGGAAACTTTAAAAAACTGTTAGTGGAGTGAAAATAAGTTAGTTTTGAAGACTCATGATCTTCAGTTATCTAAGGGTCACCATCCTGAATATCGTGCACAGACATGTAAATCTGGGTGAATAAAACTATGATGAGTCTAAGTATTCCAAGATGTGTTTCCGATTTGGTTCCTCCCTCCTTCCCCCTTTCTTTCCTCCTATGAATAAATCTCTTCTGTAATTGTGATTTCCTTGCCTTTTTTATGTATATAAAAATGCTACATACTATAAAAACATCACAGTTGAGACTTCCGGTTACTGAGGTTCTGGTTGAGAAGAGATTAGCTCACCTGGAGATTGGGGTCTATTGCTCATCACTTTTGATATTAGATGTTGTTCTTTGAAGTAGGCACTGGGCACTCCCCCTGCCTGAACCCACAGGCACGGTTTGATGCAACCCAAGCATCCATCTATTTATTTTCAAAGTCAAGAGTCCCAGGGTTTTTGAAATAATTACATGTTTACGCCAGTCACCGAGATGGACTCAATGCTGGGTCAATATTATTTCTGTGTTTGGGGTCCAAAATAAGCAAAAAGGTACACTAAAAAAAACAGCCTTCCTCTCCCCATTTTTCTCTTCTCCTACCTCGCCTTTTTCTTCTTCCCAGCCCCCTCCTCCTTTCTGTGAATTTAGGACGTGAAAATTGGATAAAGTTTTAATTATTGTAAGTACTTCTGTCATGGTTCAGTGACTATAGTAATATTAGCTTCTAAAAATAGCATTTTGCTCTCAGACGATCCTATGATTTGTTCCAAACATGTATTATTTTTCCAGTTTTTCTAGACGTTTGATTTTCAACGGTACAATTTTGCCATACCTCCACCCTCCTTGGGTACATTTGGCAAAGTCTGGAGACATTTTTGGTTGCAGCAAGTAAGGGAGGAGTGCTACTGACATGCAAGTCAGAGGTGCAACTGATCATCCTATGAGGCCCGGGGCAGCTCCCCACAGCAATGAATTTTCAGGTCCAAAATGTCAGTAGTGCTGAGAGGTTGAGAACTGCTCTAAACTCGTGCTATTCAATACAGAAGCACCTTGCCACATGTGGCTACTGAGCAGTTGAAATGTGGCTAGGCTGGACTGAGATGTGCCGTGAGTCTAAACTACACACCATGTTGTGAAGATTCAGTACAAAAAAATGTGAATTATGTTATTAATGATTTTGATGTTGACTACACATTGAAATGATAGTATTTTGAATATATTCAGTTAACTGAAATGTACTATTATTTCCCCTTTTCCCTTTTGAAAGTGACTGCAATACAATTTGAAATTATACAGGTCGCTAGCATCATATTTCTGTTAGCACTGTTCTAGAGCTTTTTCTCATTTTCACAACTTTGGAACATCAAATAAGTTAATCTTAATGTGTTAACTATTTGGGGAAAAGGTTAAATTCTTATTTTACATCATATTTCAAAAACAAATCTCAGTGTTTAAATGTTAAAAGTTTTTAAATGAGGCTATAAATACTGGAGTAAAATGTTCATGAATATACATGAAAGGGAAGGTGTTTTTGTGTTTTGCATGGGAAGGTGTTTTCTAAGCATAATATCAAAGGCAGTCACTTTAAAGGAAAATACTGATAAATTAAAACACATATGATAGAACATTCAGGAACTGGAGGCTTTCTATCTTCAAAGTGTTCTCCTGAGGACATTGTTTTGGTCATCCTGCATCTTGCTGAATGTCTGAGCTCTGTGTTCAGCCCCAGGATGTCCTATGATACTCGGTTGGCCTGTAGCCCCAAGGAACTTGAGAACCGTGCTGTTCCATCCACTTTTTGAAACTGCTGACCATGGATTTCACAAATGCCTTGTATGGACCCCCAAGTCTGGTAAGAGTAAAGAGTATGTGTGTGGTTTTTTTTTGGGGGGGGCTCTTTAATCCTCAACTGAGTCCTGAGAGACCCCTCACCAAAACGGATCCTTCTGGTTCTAGAAGGATGTGGATGCAGCACAAGTCTCAATGCCTGCATCTTGAACTTAGTGTGATGTTTTAGGATTCATGAATGTAGAGCTTGGACAGGAGTTAGTCTCTCACTTCTCTTAGAGGACTACATCCCATCAAACTAGAATTAGACCATTAGACAAACCATCTGGTTTATATGAGATGGCGATTGCTTGCTTTTGGGGGGTTCTTGACACTACTATAGATTACTTCCTTTTTCACAGGATGTGGGATGATTTGTTCCCCAAATGGTGTACTTTTAAAAATAATGTCAATCATATTTGAAGTGCTTTTGAATAACTTCTCAATTAATTCGTTCAACACGTTTTTACTCAGCTTCTATTATGTGCCAGACACTGAGGCTGTGAAAAGGATAGATAAGGTCCTTGCCCTTGTAAAGCTTATGTGTTAGTGGAGACAGCTGGAAATAGGCAACACGTACATATATATCATCATGTCAGGAAGTGATAAGAAGAAAAATGAAGCAGATTGGGGTAAAGAGTGATGGCGAGAGCTAATATTGTAGATCAGGCGATTAGGCAAGGTCCCTGGCCGGGTGACTGCATTTTAAAAGAGCTGTTCATGTATGTAATATTTATTAGTTAATTTTTACTGTTAAGGTATTAGTGACTTTTTGCAGCACATCATGGTTTGGTTTTGGCTTTGTTTTTGTTTGTTTGCCTGATTTAATATAGTGATCGTATTACAAAAGTATTTTTGATTTCTGCCTTTCCCACAAACCATATTATAATGATTTGCTAAGTTTCAAACCCTTTGAAACTACCCTTTTAAATGGTTGTGTTGTATTCCTTAGCTAGTTCATGTTGCTGGATACTTAGATTATTTCTAATTTCTTGTTATAAATAACATTAGTATAAACTTCATTTTTTTAATCTTTTTAAATGTTTGAAGTATTTTTAGAAGATATTTGAAGTGGCATTTACTGATTAAGAAGACTATTTAAAATAATAGTTTAAAGTAATTTAAAATATATACACAATCATTTTAAGAGAAATAGATTTTAATAACTAAATACCCAGTATTTGCCATATGCCATCTGTCTATATATAGACATCTAATATATCTATATACCATGTGTCTATCTGGCATCTGTCTGTCCATCCATTATTTATCAGACTGTATCCATCATCTGCCTTGAACCATAATTAAAAAAAATAAGCTTACCTGTGTCTCTCAAAGATTTAAGACTCAACTCTTTCAAAATCCCTTAAATCATTTAAAAGGTTGGCTGTGTCATTCGACATCTCTAAGTTTTTTGTTAATATCTTTTTAAAAAAAAAAGATTTTGCTGGGGAATTGGGGAAGGGGAATAGCCAAGTTGTTGTCCTTCAATCTTTGTGGAGGGCGCGGCTAGCTCAGCTCCAAGTCCAGTCGCGCCACTCAGCTCAAGGTGCCATGTTCAATTAGTTGCCGGTGGGTATAGCCCACCATCAAACAGGCAACCTTGTTGCTACACCAGCTGAGCCATCCTGCCACCTGTTGGCAGCTCAGCGACAGCTCAGCTCAGGCGCAGCTCACTGGCCCATTTGGGAATCGAACCAGCGACTCTGTTGCTCAGAGCTCGTGCTCTTAACCAACTGAGCTACCCGGCAAGACCGCCACTGGCATCTTTGAAGAATCCAACCCCATTGTTATATAGACTGGCTCTCAATTTTGATTTGCCTGATTGTTTCCTCAAGAATACTACATTATGCCAGATTTTTAAAAACGCATCCTTGTTGGAATGTTATTGTACTCCTAGGTGGGGTAGGAATGAGTGACTGCTTTATAAAGTAGCAACATCAGATAGCCCAGCATGCAGGGCCAGTTATGCAAGAATAACTGAAACAGGATGCACAGGAAAGCAGATTGTTCCAAATTATCAGAGGAGGTGTGTTCCTTTTATGTTTTAAAAGTTTTGTGCTAGAAAAAAGTGCTAACTGGAATGGCAAGAGGTTTCAGCTCCTGGGCACACTTTGACTGATTAGAGGTGACTTTCAGGGCTCCCCAAGGCCTCAGGAGGAAAGAGTCATAATCCATGTGTGATGTCATCAATGGGTACCTAGGTGACTAGTGGGGCAGAGGCTGGTTGCTGTTAAGGCTGCCCCTGAAAAGGAGCTGGCCTTACAGGTGCTGCTGGCCATAGTTCTCACCTAACCTGGGCCAAGTTTCCTGAATATACGCACAAGGACTGACTAGAAGTTGGTAAGATTGTTGGTAAGATTGTTCTTGTCTTGTGGCTTGCTGTAAGTCAAATGGTTTCTTGATAGTCACAGCTCATACACATGTAATTCAGCTTTATCCTCATACAGATCCTTAAAAAGGCATGAGCTTCTCTTGTAATGGTTTTCTAATTCCTGACTAGAACTGTTGTTAAATGATTTTTAAAAAATCAGTTCCCATCCTCCGATATTCACAATGTTGATCAACATGGTAAATATAATGAGGAGATGAGAAGCTGATGAATTCCCTCGCAGGTACTAAGGCAGCAGCCTGGAAATCTTTATTGTCATTTTGGACAATATACTTAAATTTGAATGTGGAAAAGCCTTATCTTCTTGGAATTTAATTAAAGGTAAATAAAGAGGCTGTACTATGAAGATTTTGCTCCAAAAGGACGATGATGGATTCCAGCTTCTGGAAATCATTGTGCCCCTCTGTTAACTCCTTGTCATCTAGTCTAGTTGGGAGTAAATTTCTTCCTCTCTGCCAAATGCATGTTTTATTGGTTTTCAAATCCTTCCTGATGGATTAGTGAACAATGTACGTGCTTATGGCCTCGGTTAATTCTGCAAGTAGGGTGGAAGGGCAATTTGAGTGTTTATCTCAATTTCAAGTGAACAACCCCCTTTTCAAACTGATATTTATTTTGAGATAATTGTAGGTTCACATACAATTGTAAGAAACAATACAGAACCATATGACTTCACTGATATGTGGGATTTAAAACTGAAAACAAAGGAACAAACAAATAAACAAAAACTCATAGACACGGACATAGTTTAGTAGCTACCAGAGGGTAAGGGCAGAGGGGGTGGTAGATGAGGGTAAAAGGGATCAAATATAGGGTGATGGAAGGAGAACTGACTCTGGGTGGTGAGCACACAATGTGATAATGTAGTACAGAATTGTACACCTGAAACCTATGTAACTTTATTAACCATTGTCACCCCAATAAACTTCAATGAAAAAAAAAGAAATAGAGATCCCCTATAGCTTTGCCCAGTTTTCCCCCAATAAGTTTTTGTAAAACTGCAGTATAATATCAGAGCCAGGAAATCGTCACTGATGCAGTGTACTAAACTCAGAATTTTTCATTTTAACTTGTATTCCATCCTGTGTGTATCTTTAGTTCTAGAGAAATTATCACATGTGTATGAGCACACTTTTGACCCAGCATTTCCGCTCTTAGGAATCTGTCCTCCAGAAATATTTGTGCGTGTGCACAAAGCCACGTGTACAAAAATATGGACTGTGGTATTTTTGTAGTTGTAAAAGAAATAGTAACATTCTGCCTACATCATGGGGAAATAATGAAATATTTTCAGTAGTGACTAATGAAAGCTATATATGCTTGAAATGGAAAGAGCCCCAAGACAAAATAAGTGTAAAAAGCGTAGAACAATATGATAATGTAATTACAATTATGTGAAAAATGTTAGGGGATAAATGTGTATACATATGTATGCACGGAAATGCAGTATAAAATATGAAGGACGCTCCTCAAACTGTTAACAATAGTTACCATGTCTTTCAACTGAGGAGCCGTAAATCTGAAATAGTGAGGCTACATCTTGGGCATTAAAAAAAAGTCTGCTATTTCACAGGCAGACTGTGCTTAAGACTCACTCAGAGAACTTTTTATAATTAACAAAGATAGCAGGTCTCTTCCACGCTCCCACACCAGCCAGCAATCCGTTTTTCCAATAACAACCATTAATTATTTACTTAGAAGTTAAAATATAATGTGTGGAGGAAGGGTGAAGCAGAGCACTTAATAAAATCCTTGCAGTTAGAAGGAAGAAAATAGAAGTGCTTTCCAAACCTGCGTGTTGTTTGTAACATACTGACACATTTCCCCATAAGAAACTCCCAGAGAAATTGGAACCACATGTGTAGATGGCCAGGGCGTGCTGGGCACGTTGCTGTGAGCATTTCAGCAGGGCTGCAGCAACACCCCCTTTCAATGCTCTTGGGTCCTGGGGCTTGTCTCCACAAGAAGCCCCCAAATAGCAATGGATCTCGGCAGCGGGTACAAGGCTGCAGCAAAGAACAAGGTTTCCTACACCCCCACCCTGTTCCTTCACTCTGCAAAAATTACGAACTGTCAGTTTCCTTCCTGAAAACCCCAAGGCTTCCTCACTGATTGGTCTCAGTTTTGGAAAGGACGTGACATCAGCTACTTTGTAGACTTGGGGTTGGGGGGCTGTCGTCGGCTTTGGCCAGCCTCCAGTCAGCAAGGTGGAGCCTGCGTGTGCGAGTGAGTGGCACGTCTGACCACAAGTAGTACTTGGATTATGCTGCCTGTTCTGTTCTCTGTTGTAGACGATTGTTCTCTCCGGTCTGTCCAGGACGGTGGCACTCGGCTGACCACAGCGCCGGGATTTCTCAGGAGCAGAAGCATGGAATTTTAGATTTTTCACAAGCCATTGAAATGGAAGGCAAACCTAGTTCGGCCCAGGACAGCACCAGGGATGGTGAACCACAGGGCAGGACCTACAACAGGCTCCTGAGGAAGTCAGGAAGCCGTCCTGACAGCAGGCGCCTTGCAAACCCACTGATGGGCCGTGAGTCTGGGGGCTGTGGAAGCAGGGTGCTGGGGAGGTTGCTTAACAGAGAGAGAGAGAGGAGGGCTGGACGATTTTAGTGGCTCCTTCTGAGATGAGTCCATGGGGCACTTATTGGACCGATGTCCCGGGCTTTACATGATTGTTCCAGAATGTCCACACCTCTTTGTGCAGAGTCCCATGAACCCTAGAAAGGCAACTGGCAAGAGTTTATTCTCCAGTACAAACTTCAGCTCTAAAGGTCAAATGTACCACATTACATTACAGGTTTAAAAGTTACTTAGAAATAGGAACATTTGTGGAGGCTGTTGAAACTTGAATGAAAAGGTTTTTTAGGTCTTTGGCATTTAGGTCATTTAGGTGGGGCTGGGTTTATAAAGGATGTTCAAACATTGATTGATTCACTTTCAAAGGAGCCTTTTTTTTAACCTTGGGAGAAGTGTCTTAGGGTATGAGTCAGGTGGTGTCTTTGCTAATGTCTAGAGTCTCTCACACCTCTAGGCAGCAGTCCTTTCCTGTGAGAATTCAGCAGGTGGCTGCTAACTGAAAGGAATCTGAGGCATTAGAGGGGAGATTATTCTATCCAGCACCCTGGTAGGGTGCCTGGAACACTTGTGATCAAAGGGACTTATGCAGGGACCCTGCAGTCAGCTAGGACTTATTAATTTCCTACTGTACAGGGGCTGAAAGGGGGAAAAAACATAAGGAATAAAATACACAGTGCCTTTCCTTGGACTTGTTGAATAGGTAAGACTGCTCATTCATTCATTTATGCCATTTTGCTTGTACAATGAGCAGAGCAGTGAATAGGATTCGGGCCTGCAAGGCAGAACTGGATTATTCAGCATAGACTTGGAGCAGTAGAAAGCAGAGTGGCACCCAAAACCACTTTTAAAATGAATTATATATAAATTTATATATATATATATATATATATATATATATATATATATATATATATATATAAAGATTTTATTGGGGAGAATTGGGGATGGGGAACAGTGTTGCGGAATTGGGGAAGAGGAACAGCCAAGTTGTCCTTCAATCTTAGTTGTGGAGGGCACACCTAGCTCAGCTCCAAGTCCAGTTGCCATCCAGCCACCTGTCAGCAGCTCAGGGCAGCTCAGCTCAAGGCACTGTGTTCAATCTTAGTTTTGGGTGGGTGTAGCCCACCATCCCATGCAGGAGTTGAACCGGAAACCTTGTTGTTGTTAGGAGCACGTGCTGTAACCACTGAGCAATCCTGCCACCTGTTGGCAGCTCAGGGGCCGCTCAGCTCGGGTGCAGCTCACTGGCCCATGTGGGAATCGAACCGGCGACGCTGTTGCTCAGCGCTCTTGCTCTTAACCAACTGAGCCACTCGGCCAACCCAATAAATATATTGGGTTGTCGGAAAAGTCATGACACATATTTGCAATGAAAAACAGAAAAAAATATGACTTTTTTGACAACCCAATATTTTTAAAGCAGCAAACCAATCAATTGGGGAAAGAATCAGTAATTCGGTTGGCTTCTGCATGATTATTTTACAGCTAAGTATTATGTTGATTTTCACTAGGGTTTCTAGAGGTCCTAATACAACTCTGGTTGGGGCTGAGTGAGTGGATGGGTGCAGGCAGGCATATCCAGAGGGTGCCAAAAAAGTGTATACACCATTTTAAGATAACATCTCTTGAAATATGTTTACATTTTTTGGCACTCCCAGTATATATGGTACTTAAAAAGGGAACAAACGGTAATAGCTAAAATGCAGAGTGTCTTAGGGAGCCTAGTAAGAACAAGTTTGGAGAGATGAAACCTGATAATGAATCTTCAATAGCTGGGTGGCAGAATTTAGCTTTCATGAGGCAAGGAATTTGGCGCCATAGATGATTCTAGAGCAGAAACCAGAGCAATAATCTAGAGCAATAATAAAGGCTGTAAGTAAATTAAACTGGTAGCCACAGTCAGGATGGATTGTGGTGGGGTCACGGGAATTCCAGCACTAACCCACAGGCTCTCAAACTCTTATGTGCATCAGTGTCACCCGGAGGGTTTGATGAAATACAGATGGCTGGGCCCCACCCTCAGAGTCCCTGATGCAATTGTAGTTCTGGGATGAGGCTGGGAATCTGCATTTATAACAAGATCCCAGGTGATGCAGATGGTGCCATTTGGGGACCACACTTTGAGAACCCCTGCACTAATCCAAGCATAAACCTTACATTTGGACCAAAGTTGGAAATGACAGAGAAAGGACAAATGAGGGATCATTTCAAAAGAAAGAAATCAGGCTATGTTGGGGCCAAAGGAGAGAAATCAACCCACACTGTAAAGTTTTTAAAGCTAAATTAATGTCAGAAAAGCGGTCTAGATAAGACAGAAGTTGGGAAGGGGAGCTGGCTTGGGAGCAGAGTGAGGAAGGGAAGATAAGGAATTCTGTTTTGAACATAAAAGTGCCAATGGCCAATACACAGCCTGATGACGCGGGACTGAGGCTGGGGAATGAATACAAGTTGGGAGTCAGAGACCTCAGATAGGGTAGGCTCATTCCTACCCTATCACATCCCGAAGACTGAAGGCAAATGCTTCCGCCTTCTCAGAGAAACCCAACCTCTCTTTTTTCCCCTCGACCTTGCAAAATGTTTCCCAGGATGGATAGATTTATGCTACTGCCCGGTATTCACTGGGGGCTTGCAGGGCCTCGTTAATAGATCTTTTTAGAATGTACCAATTAGTGCATTTTAAATCTCTTCTGAAATAATGGAAATTTTAAAAATCATTCCAGAAATTGCAATAAAAACGAAATGGCAGCCTTCCTAATGTGTTATAGGTTTGATGGAAACTCAATTTAAAAGAAAAGTTAAGTTTAATGGCACTAATCGGAGGACTTCTGGAGTGGTTTCATTAGGAGATCTCCCTGGCCCCATGTAGCCATGAGTTACTGATTGCCATTGACCTCATTTAGTATCTATTCTTTTGGTAGTAAAACCAATAGACCGTGGCTGAACAGTGTTGGGGAAGAATCTTTAATATATACCAAGGGCTTGGATATGTTGTAGGCAGATTATGGCCCTTGAGTTTCAAAGACTTTGGTGTAGGGTCAGTGGAAAGGGGATTGTGACCTTGAATCTCCCGTTCATCCATATTCTACCATGACCATCGTCCACGTTCTGGTAAGAAAGAGTCCCCGTTCCCATTGATTCTGCTCTCTCCCGTTAGCAGCAGGAAGGCAGGCAGAGCTGCTTCTGGGTGTAACTCCCACGTGTTGAGCCTGTAGCTCATTGCCTGCTTGGGGGGTTGCCTCTGGAAAACCCTGGGGAGACATCTCCTGGATATCTCTTTAGTGTTCTCAAGGGCTAAAGAAAGTGTGTGTGGACTAATCCAGGCTGCAAATTATGGTGTTTGCTAAACCGTATGTATGTATATGTGTATATGTATATGTACACATACATGTACACACATACATGCACACATACACACATATATATACACACATACATAATTCATGCTCTCAATGCTAGAAAAATGTCACCTATTTGTTGTCACAATTTTGTCTTTACACAATCACTCAATTGTTCAGAGACCTGCGGAGGGTAAAGTCCTTGTATAAATTTGAGATGAGTTTTGGCTTTACAAGGACCCAAGTTTTTCTTCTGGGCAGGAGTATAAGCACACTGTGATAGCCTTACCAAGCCCTAGTGTGAAATGACTTTAAATTAGCAAGAGAAGTCTCATACGCTGCTGATGGGAATATCGAGTGGTCCAGCTGCAGTTCCACAGAAAGTTCAACATTGGGTTACCATATTATACAAGCTCTTCTACTCCTAGGCATATACCTAACAGAACTGAAAACATAGATCCACAAAAAAACTTGTTCGTGAATGTTCATAGCGGCATTGTTAATAATAGCCAAGAAGTAGAAACAACACAAATGTCCATCAACTAATGCGTTAATAACTAAAACGTGGTCTAGCTGTACAGTAGATACTATTTGGCGATAAAAAGGGATGAAGTACTGATACACACTACAGTGTGGATGAACCTTGAAATAGTATGCCCAGTGAAAGAAGCCAGTCACAGAGGACCACATATTGTATGATTCTATTTATATGAAATGTCCAGAATAGGCAAATCCGTAGAGACAGAAAGCAGATCAGTGTTTTCCAGAGGTTGAAGGTGGTAGAAATGGGGAGTGACTGCTGTTGGGTAAGGGGTTTCTTTTGGGGGTGATGAAAATGCTCTAAAACTGATTGTGTTGATGGTTGCACAACTCTGTCAGTAGACTGAAAACCACTGAATTGTAGACTTTAAATGGGTGAATTGTGTAGTATGTCAATTATAACTTAATGAAGCTGTTAGACAAATAGATGTTGTCAGCCACCTACCAGGACAACACCCTGTGCTTCTCGAAGACAGAGTCTGCTCTGTAAATGCTACATTCTGAAGCAGGGGTACAAGACCTCAGGTAGCCTTTATTTTTCTTACAGAAGTACATAATTCCTCATTTACCCTTAATGGGAGTAATGGTTCCATGATAAATGAATAGAAAGTAGAGTCCATTTTTGTCTACACTTGATAATATAATTGCATCATTTTAATGAAACCTGAACAGACTTACCATTTAGGGCCCAAATTACCTGCCTGGACTGTTTAGGCTGTCACCTCTAATTATCTGAGGTAGCTTCAAGAAAGGCTGAGGGAAGTGGCAGCTCTATTTCCTAGCAGCTGAGCCCTTGGATAGAAAAAATAGATTAATTATCACACACGCGGTGATCCATAAGGGTACATTTGCAAATCTATTTACCACTGATTTTCAAAACCTCTTTCAGTTTTTGGCTCTCTGTTCTCACTCAAGGTTTTGTGTGGATGGTATTTTGCATTAGCACCCGCAGGATAGAATGAGTTGTCCTTTTAATACTAACTTGAAGAGAAACATTTCTGTATGTGCAGCCTGGATTGTAGGCTCCGAGTGCTAGAAGCAGCAGTGTTTTTCCTGAGAGAATTTGGAACCCCAGAGAATGCTTTGAGGACCCTTAGTTTCTACTGAGCTTAAGGTTTTGGAGGTAGGAAAAGTCACTTGACTTAGCATGCCTCAAGTACCTCAGTGGGCCCAGACGGAAGGCATTGGATGGGCAGTGTGGAGGCGGGCTCATTCAGCGTGTCCTTACCTAGTACATGCTTTAGAAATCCATCTAGAAGGATGGGAATTTGCTCATTGGGAGAGATTTTCCGGGACGCTGCTAGCTCCGTGGAGCAAGCCGACCTCAGCCAACACATGTTAAGTACGAAGTGTTCTCGCCTCCTTCTTTAGGGCCTTTCAAAGTTGTCCAGGTCTTCCCACCTTCTAGGACATACAAGTTCCTTTACGAGGCGTGGCTAGTATTAGACAGTTCTGCCTTGTTTGTGCGTAGCGGGGTGTTTCCTCAAGCAGGCAGAGCTGGAGCTAAAAGCAAGGTCAGACCAGCCTCCTCACATTATGACTTCCTGCGTTTGTTCTGGAAACTAGATGCAGCTTGAGATGAGAAAACATCAGGTCTACACCTCATTCAGCTTACACCCGCACTCAATCAGAAAGAGAGAGGAAAGCATTGAATGTGTTCAGATACGGTTTACAGGCTTCCTTCCTAAGGATGCGTGTTCCTTCCATACGGTTGTGGAACAAATTTGCTATTTTAAATAACAATGATTATGGGATGTAATCAAGACTCTCTGTTTACTGTTAGGGCAGGATAATAGTAGCTAATAGGTATTAAAGCCATGGGGAAGTGGATTGCTGTCATCACTTTACACAGAAGGAAAGTGAAGCTTAGGGCCTGACCAGGGACCCACCACTCAGAAGAAAAGAGGGTCTGAATTCAGAGCTTTCTCTGAACCACATCGGTGGGCTGCCTTTGGGGGTAAATAACGTCCCTGTTAACAAGGTCAGACTGCACTCTAATTGGCACTTGATACTGGGACAGGAGGTAATCCATAAATAGATATGGTTCTGTTTAGATTTGATTCCAAGCCTAATGGTGTATGTAATTACTTGATTACTACTATTAGTCTATGGCACTGTTTGCTGAGATGCCAAAGTTTGTATTTCACGCAGGAAACTAGACTGGCAACCACAGCCTCACACATTAATGCTGGTAATTAGTGAAGCTCTCACTTAACTAAATGGACCATTTGCCTTTGAAATCAGTGTGTAAGTAGAAGTACAGTAACCCATCTGTCATCTCAATCTACCTCTTTTGTCCTTAGTTTGGACACTGGCTGTAGTTTTCTTTAGCTACCTAGACACTTCAAATAAACTGTGTACAACAAACGTTAATGGAGGGGAGAAATGCTGATGAGAGTTGGGTTGATTGACTCCAGCGTCTTCATCCAATAAGACCCATTAGGCTTTTATTGGCCGGCAGGCAAGGATGAGCCTCTGGGCCTAACGTGCATTCGAAGGATGTAACCCCTTCCTCCCTTTCCACAGATGTCGTGTCTGATCGGACTCCTGTGCATGAAGCTGCGATCCATGGGAGTCTGTTTTCTTTGAAGAAGCTCCTCAGCCAGGTAGGTAGCTTTTTGGGAAAAAAAATACGATAACTATTAAGCACATCCTATTGCTCACCACATTTAGAAAAAAAAATCATAGTCTGATATTAAGGTATAAATTCGTCTTCAGCAAAGTGAGGTGAATCCCGTCCTATCCAACCATATATATATATATTTTTTTAGCTGAGCCATCCTGCCACCTGTTGGCAGCTCAGCGGCTGCTCAGCTCGGGCCAGGACTCGAACCGCTGTTGCTCAGAGCTCAAACTCTTGAGCGAGCTCTTAACCAACTGAGCCACTCGGCCGGCCCACAACCATATTTTTTATTTGGAGCCTGGCCTAATACTAGGATTTAGCACAATTCTATACACACAGTAGGTAGGTTCTATAACAAATATACATTGAATGAATAATGGGAAAATTAGTACATTCGAGTTGCCTTCATTGTATTCAATAAAATATGTTCCTAAAAATTATCACGTAATTTTGGTTCTCAACTGGGATGATTTTGCCCCTTAGAGGACATTTGACAATGTCTAGAGACGCTTTTGGTTGTGACAACTGGGAGTGGGGGTGAGGGGTTGATACTGGTATCTAGTAGATGGAGAGCTAGAGACCAGGGATGCTACTAAACATACTGCATTGCACAGGATAGCCCTGCACATCAAAACTTGACCCATCCCAAAACGTCAGTGATGCTGGGGTTGAAAACCCCTGATATAAAAAACATGCTTGAAAATGTCTTTTTAAATATGTAATCTTACTATTTTTTTCCAAGACATTTTCAGTTCTGTTGAATCTCCAGTTTGATATGAATTTCTCTGCTCCTCAGATGTAATTTCAAGTACACATTAATTTGAGTTTTGCTGGTTTGAAATTTTGGGGGATCTTAAGCAAAGGCACTAGTAAGAAAACAGTTAAAATCAGCCTTCCACATGCTAAAAAAGTTTTTGTTCAGGATGTTCTGTTCTCTGGAAAAACAATAGATGTTTTAGGTTAGGAGTACTTGGCCCTTTCTGTCCCATGGTCCCCTTTGGCAGTCTGGCAACGTCTCCTGGACTCCTTGTGAGACTACTGTTTTAAATACATAAAACACAACACAAAGGAAACCTATCAAAGTATTAAACAACAAGCGTGTGACACAGTAATATATTGACTTCTTTAGTAATGAACTAAATACGATTTAGTGGTGATTCTAATGACTAACCATAATTTCTAAGTAGGATGAACATATATTTTGGATATTTTAAATATCTGTAGTAGTTGTAATAAAAATATCTGTAATTCCTCTCCATGATAGTTCTATATACTGCTATTACTACTGTGGTTTGCTGTCTACATTTATAGTTCAATACATAATTGAAGGGCATGATAAATTTCAGGCAGTGGTTAGTGAAAATAAATATGCTTTTTTTTAAAAAAAATTCCAATTTCATGGACCTTTCTAGACTAAGTAATCCTCCTATAAGAAAACAATTTGTAGAGAAAAATGTCAGACTACCCCAAGCCACTATCTTAAGCTGTTTTTGATAGCAACAGCCTATTATAAATAGAAACATAGATAGTAACACATAACTCTAGCTAAAAGAAGTTAAGCTGCTTCTCGGATAAAATGAAACATTTACCTTGTTTTGATAGGATGAGAAATGATCATTGCAGCTTTTATATGTCACATATTAAATTGGACGGATACTCATTTATATTCAGTATTTATATAGTTACTGAACATCAGCCGGAACCATGTCTTTATCTAAGCTCTATCACATTATTTCAGCAAGTTATCTTCCTGGAACCTCAATTTCTGTCTTCATAAAATGAGGATTCCAATACCTACCTGCATTAGTCAGATCTTCCTGTGTAACAAACCACCCGAAACTCAGTGGCTTCGTGCCATAAACATTTCTTCCTAGCAAGCCTCTGCGTCAGCTGATGTAGGCTGGGCTTGGCTCCATCCTTCTTTGACCAGTGGTTACATGAGACATTTTCACCTCATGGCAGAAGGCTGGAGCATAGCAGGAATACATGTAAGAATAGTTCCTTGTCATGGACCTCATCAAAACAAGCCAACGAATGAGAGGACACGAGAGAGTGAGAGCAAAATGAAAGTCAGTCTTGAGTGTATATGCCTAAGAGTCAAATTTCTGGGTAACAGGTATATGTGGCATCAATTCTTATACATACTGTCAAACTGTTTTCCTGAGTGGTTGTATAATATACTCCCATCAGCAGAATGAAGCATCCTTTTTTTTGCTCACATTTTTCTATATCATTGTCAATACCTTAATGTACTGTCAGATTTTAGGCCAGGTTAACTTTTAAAAGAGTTGTCACAGTACTGCATTTGTGGCTGAAAACCAACCCTACGGAACTGATGCTTTGCACCCCTTAATGCTGCCCATTTCCCCTCCCACAGGGGTGGCCTGTGAACCTCGTCACAGCAGATCATGTGTCCCCACTCCATGAAGCCTGCCTCGGAGGTCATCCCTCTTGTGCCAACATTTTATTGAGGCATGGAGCTCTGGTAAGTACAGCTCAAATAGCATCTTAATAACCATGAATGAAAAATGACTATTTCTATCCCTTCAGAATAGTTTCCAGCATTTTTTATTAGCCTTATTTGAAATATGAAGATGGGTGCTTTTCAAAAGCCTTGTGTCCTTCAAGCTTATTTGCTTTAGCAATACATGAAATATTGAATTTTAACCGGAAAGTAATGGTTCGAGTCTATATCATTTTCTTTAATAGTCAATACTAATAAATAGTTGTTTGATTTCTGTTTTCATTCCTATGGCTTGAAGGTAGTGAAATATTGTAGAGAAAACAGAACATTTGGCTCCAGACCTGAATAATGGTCCTAGACCATCTCTACCATTTACTAACATTGGAAACTTGAACAAGTTACTTATTCTTGGAGCTTTAGCACCTACCTCTGAAAAATGGGGGAAATACCAAAAAAAGTGACTTCAAATCATTCCTTATAGTGGGAGAGTCGAATGGGTGAGAGGGGTCAGAATATAAACACCCTTATTGTCCATGCCAAGAAAACGGGCATTGTCCTGAGAACAGTTGAGAGCCATAGCTGAATGCATCATCAGGTTTCTGTTTATTTTGCTTAAGAAAACGTATCCAACACTTGGAAACAGGGCCAGGACTAGGGAAAGACAAGAGGTGCCCTGGGTGCAAACTTGAAAGAGCCGCTCACTCTGAGGAGCATACAGCACTCTCTTGACCCTGGGAGGGAGTGTCTCCTTAAATTTTGCACCCTCTGGGCATCTTCTGTGCCTCACTAGTCCTGGCCTTGCCTCACAATATTCTTGTTCAACAGGTTAATCAGAGAGTTTCTTAACAATCTAGAAAAATGCACCTGCGTTTGGCTTTGCTCTTTCCTATTCAATTATAGCCCCAACCCTGTGAAGTTCAATGCTAACATGTAAGTTTCTGTCTGATTTCCAACATTAGAAGATAGCCCCAAAGATTATAGTTTTATGGCCCTGTAGGACATTAACCAATGTTGTGTTTACAGCAAATTCATGTCAACATTCCATTGACTGTCTTCATACATTCTCCTTTGAGCCAGCCTTACCATCTTACTGGATAATGAATGAGTTAAAAAAATCTTTGGCACGTGTAAACTCTATATTTGTATAAAAATCATGTTTTAAAATGTTTTTGAAATGATACATTAACGATTATTAAAGGCTACTCTGGCTGCTGTGAAGAAACGGGATTGGTGTGGGATGGGTCTAGGATGGAATGTTTAAAATAAAGAAATTAGTTTGTAAGGTATGGAAATATCCTAGCCTGTTTCCAAGTTCGTGTTCCTGGGGAGGGCATGGAGCAGACAGAACATCACATCCAGTAACATTCTCGGTGCCTTACATTCCATGCCTCATTCAGTTTTTCGTAACAGTTTCGTGGAGTTTGGTATTTTCATCCCCATTTTATAGTGGTGGAATTGAAGGCTCCCTGAAGTTCAATAACAACTTGGGAGTGGTAGAGTGTAGGTCTGAACTCAGGACACCCTAGAGGCTGTCTTCATCGTGGAGCATTTCTTTCCAGGTGAATGGCATCACCATAGACTGGCACACTCCCTTGTTTAACGCTTGTGTCAGCGGCAGCCAGGACTGCGTGAACTTGCTCCTGAAACATGGAGCCAGCCTTTGCCCTCCAAGTGATCTGGCATCTCCTCTCCACGAAGCTGCTAAGAGAGGTAAAGCTGCTGCAAATTTCAGTTTTCCAACTACTCCTTCAAGGGATCTTACTGTTGAGAGAAAGAAGGAAGAGGAGGTCTAGTTTAGAGCGGTAGTTCTCACAGTGGGGTCCCGGGACTAGCACACACAAATGCAGATTCTTGGGCCTCACTGCAGACCCACTGAATCAGCAACTCTGGGAGGGGAGGGCAGTCCAGCCATCTGTGTTTTGCTTAAGAAACCTTCCAGATGATTCTGATGCACAGTTTGTTTGAGAGCTACCTTTTTAAAGCATTTTGAATGTTGTTCACTGCTATATTTCTGGAACAGAGCCTGGTGTATAGTAGACTATTCGTCAGTATTTGTTGAATATATTGTTAAACCCATGACTCCATAGAAATCAAGTTATTTTGGAAAACAAAGTATGTCCTTCTATTTAAAAGGCCTTAAAGAACATTGTCTCAAGGCTACCCAAGTTTGCTAAGTGAAAGAAACTTTCAATTTTGGGGAATGTAAGTTGATACATACAGTTTGGGGGAATTCCTTTTTCCTTCCCAGCTTTATTGAGGTAGGATTGACAAAATTGTATAACTTTAAGGCGTACCACGTGACGACTTAGTATACATTCTGAAATGATTACCACAATGAAGTTAACACACCCATCGCCTCACATAGTTTCCTTTTTTCGTGTGTGGTGAGAACACTCAAGATCTCTCTCAGCAACTTGCAAGCGTCCAATGCAGTATTGTTAACTATAGTCACCAGGCTGGACATTCCATCCCCAGGACTTACTCATCTGCTGTAGTTCTTTTTTAAAGCCACAGGTTTTCTGATATTCTGAACGCTTGAGACAAAAAAATAAAAACGCAAGTTTTGCTTTTCTCCAATGCCACCACTGCCCTCCTCTTCCTTGTCCTCCTCCATCATCACCATCCCCATACCTTGCCAGAGGGCTTCCTGTTTCCCTAGTGGCTTTCACAAAATGGCTTCCCCTGATCCTTAGAGCCAGCCCTATTTGACTGGATCAACCATTATTACAGTGATCTCCCAAAGCATTGACATGTATCCACTAAGAAACATGCTAACTCATCATATTCACTGGATACATGAACCAAAATGAGAAACGCAAAGGGGCGATGTTTAAAGTATGACATTCTAGAGTCTAGACCAAGGAAGAGTGACTGATTCAGCTTTCACCAAACCTAGTTTGCCAGACTGGGCCCCGCTCATGTTGCATTGGGCAGCAGCTTCTAAGCTTCACCTGTGCCCACCGTGGCCTGTCTCTCCCAGGGCCTGTCCTCGGTGAGGTTGTAAGTGAGCTCCCCTGTCCCATGGCCCGTACTGCGCCCTTTCTTCTCTACGTCCGTCTTCAGTCCCTGTTCCTCCACACCTCTCCCTGACTCTCACTTCCGTTTCTGTACTCGGACTGATTAAAGCCCAAACAATGGGAAAAGGCCGAAGGTTGCTGGTTGCTTACCGTGGCTAGTAAACTCAACTGCTGTTCCACCCAGAGCTGCAGACCACATCCATGGTCAACCGGTGAGCTCATGGCAACACTTCAAATCGTTCCCTATTCAAAGCAAAAGAAACAGCTTTTGGTCCCCTGGATAAGTTGCACACACACAAATGGGGAAGGTGTGACTTTCCTAGCGAGAAGAATTTGTGCTGTAACTGTTTTCTCCCGCTTTGGGCTGCAGGCCACGTGGAGTGCATCGAGTCCCTTGCAGTTTATGGGGGCGACCTTGACCATCACATCCGCCACCTGGGCACTCCCCTATATCTGGCTTGTGAAAACCAGCATATAAACTGTGTCAAGAAACTTCTGGAGTCAGGTAAAACAAAAAGCACAATAAAACAAAGAAGATGAAAAGTACATTAAATGCATTTGGAAGCTCTTTCTATTGTCTCAGAGGAAAGAGTGTGAGCCGTGGATGGAGTCGGACAAGGCCAGGATTCCTAGTGACTGTGGTCCCTGGGGAATTGTTTTAAACTCTTTCCCTTGAGCTCTCTCACTTGTAATGAGGATAATGATGAGGATGATGGTAATGTCTCCTCCCAGCGTGGTCCTCGATGATGGCTACTTTAATATATGATAATAATACAATCATATTATTAGGCCCTGCGTAACTCCCAAAGCTGCTGGATGAAGGCTGAGTCTTCCTATTTGGGTCCTTCCTCACTAGTTCTCTTTGTTTTGGAAATGGAACTTGCCTCATTTTTAGCCCATTGTAAATATTATGTTATCTTTGAAAAGGCTTGTGCACCTTCATTCTTTTTCACCTCCCTGCTGTTGTCCAGTCCCCTCTTCAAAACTTGGAGCACTGTGTCATCACCTCTTTAATTATTTGAGTCTTGTTTATTCTTTAAAACTTCAGTAATCTTTCCTCCCCTGAATGTTCTTATAGTTCTTATTGCCTTCTACTCATCTAGTAGCCATTGCCATGAACTAGTAGATTTATATTTATTCATATTCATTCTCATTCATTCTCTCCCTCCCTGTCTCTCCCCCTCTCTCCTCCTCTCTCCTTCTCCCTTCTCTTTTCTTCCTTCCTCCTCCCCCCTCCCCTCCCCCTCTTCCCTCCTCCCCCTCCCCTCCCCTTCCGTCTCCCTCTCTCTCTGTGTCGTCCAGGTTTGGCATCCCTCACAAAGCTAAGAACAATGCAGTTAACATTTATTGAGTGGACATAGATTCCCATTTTACTAGAGGGACAGCAAATCAGGAAAGGCCACATGTCCCCATATGTCAGCATGGGAGCCAGCATCCAGGCTAGGGTGGGGATTTGTTGAAAGTGTAGGAATGGAACTGGGTGGCATGGTTCTGGAAATCCACTTTGCTGCCAAAGAGGAGGACTTTGCCACCTTCCCTGTGACCTTGGCATTGGCCAGAGCGATCTAGGAGATGCCCTCACAGGCTGGTTGCTCTTCACAGTCCCAGTCACACAGTCCGAAGTCCCAGGTTTTAAACCCCATGGCAGTTGCTCATGTGAGTGAGTGTGGCTGCTTGCTATAGATGGGATTTCACTATCTCGCCTCACTTCGGCTCTGTACTGGCTAATAGTAGGGCTTCATTCAAAATGGGCAGCTGTCACGCCACCAGGATTTTTCTTGACTGTATCACACCTGTGTATAGCACTCACAGGTGAGGTTTTAAACCTCATATGCTACATAGCTTGTGCTGTACATTCAGTGACAGTGTCAAATGGTATGTACCCCATGTTTTAAGCGGAATCAAGTCATCTTCCATTGTCTCAGGAGAATTGCTGTGCTCACTATGGATGTCCTTTCGTTAGGGAATTTTGAGGCACAGTTCTTGGAGAAGGGGGGTGCTTGGACTGTGCCCTTCGGCTAACTCTCTGTTGTTCTCGTGACTGTTTAGGAGCAAGTGTGAACCAAGGCCGAGGTCTGGACTCCCCTCTTCACGCAGTAGCCAGGATATCCTGTGTGCCCCTGGCTCGCCTGCTCATAGATTTTGGAGCAAACACCCAGGCCAAGAATGCGGAAGGCAAACGTCCCTTAGAGCTGGTGTCTCCAGAGAGCCCTCTGTTCCAGCTCTTCTTGCAGAGAGAAGGTGCTTCTCCTTTGCCCGAACCTAAACCCTAATCCGTAGAAAGTCCTGCGAGCTCTAGCAGGAGGCAGGTCCTGACTGGGTTCTGACTTCTGATCCTATAAAAAGGATCATTGTCTGCCACCCCCCACTGTGGGGAGCTGACATAATTTAGGATTCAACAAGGTACAGTATCGGTGATGTAGTAAATAACCATCCTGCTGTTTGGCGCGTGGGAGACAGGCTGTCGTGGATAAGCTAATAATATTCATATATAGGGTAGGCCAGTTTTCAAAGAACGAAAATATTGTTTTAAAATGTTCACATTAACGTTGACTAAAACATGCTTTGGAATGATGTAGCACAAGCCTCGCCGGGGCTGAGCAATGTCCCCAGGATGCTTTACTGCACTACAGATGGGCTGAGCTACTGAGCGCTTGGTCTCTGGGGGTAAGAAGGTAACTAATTCACCTTGATAAGGTATTACTTTAATGATTCACAGCAATCTGGAAACATTTACTATTATAGGTTAATCAACACTAAGGCCACATTCCTCCATAAATAAGAACTGACACTTCTGACCCTGTGGTTGAGCAGTGTGCAAGGGGTCAGGGGCAGTTCCCTGGGCTGTGAGGTCGGGGGTGGGCTGGGGTGGGGAGCAAAGACCCCTCAGATTGCGTTCTTAATTGTCCCTAGAGGAAGAGAGCAGCCAGTTTAGGACCTGCTTTGTTTACCAGAGTGTGGACTTTAAGTTTTAGGGCTTGTAGGACTTTGAAGCAGGCTTCCCACCGGAAGGAATGTCATGTTGTAATCAGCTTATTTTCTCCCTACTTGCCGAGAATTAGGGCTGGCTCTGGGCACAACTGTAAAGTGGCCACGGAATCCTTCCTCCTCTTCCTCCCACTGCTCCAGGGTACATGCAGCCAAAGCCCAGCCTTGGGGCCCCGAAACAAGGCTTGTACTCCCTAAGCCATGCCAGCCGGGCTAGGGGACACTGACTGTAGGCACAAGGAACAGTCCAGTAGAAGCCCTTTATATTAAGCACTGGGATAAATACCAGGCAACTGTACCTGCATTTTGAAGATTTCTTGTTTTCAAAAAATTCTATTTATCTATACAGGGCCGATTTCTCTAGCAGACACAGATAGCACAATACTTGGGGCCCATGGAAATGTTTTAATTCCTTTTAAAATTGGAAGGAAAAATGAATAAAACTCAACCTGGAGTACATTCATCTTTACACTGACACAGTTTCAAAATATTATATATATATTTTTTTAATTGGAAAAGAGGTCCACAAAGGCAGAAGTGCGTTGGAGCCCCGAAAGTCATAAAGTCAGATACACACACACACACACACACACACACACACACACACGATTTTCAAATCGCCTCCACTGATTCTTTTCTTCCACTTTATCTCCCAAAGTCATTCCTAGACACCCTTTAATTACTTTCATTTACATTTTGGTGACAGTGTGGCCGATGATGCCACTGGTTTATAAAATTCCATTTGCTGTTGGAGAGAATTGCCACTTCTTTTGCGTCCCTGAGTCATGTTGGGGGTTCTGGTAAAGTCCCCTCTCAGCAGGCAGGAAACTCACAGGAAATGGAGACAGAAAGCCAGGCCTATGGATTTAGCACAGACATTTCTCTCTCTGGGTGTCCCTGAGAAGGAGTTCAAGAATATGACCCAACCACCTCGAAAAGCATCTACAGCAGTGTGTGCGTGTGGCAAACAGTGAGAACTAAAAATGACCCTTTCAGCTCAGCTCCACAGGAGCCACTCCTGAATGCACTTTGGCTTGAAAGCATCTTGAGTGTTGCTGGGGGAGAAAAAGAAGTCAAACTCAAAGCAACATGTCAATTCAGAAACATAGAATGAGCTGATTTTATTATTGAGCGTGGCAAATGGCTACGAAGCTGTCGTGGGTTTTCGGGTCAATTGAAATGGAATGAAGGTGACAGTTGCACATCATCCCACTTGTGGTAAACAGCAGATACTGAGTTTGCATTGGTGGCTCCACGGAGCTTGCTCGGATGTCCTGCTTTTCCTGATTCTCCACCTGGCTTGCTCTGACGTCTTGTTCTTCGTAACTCTTTAATCAATACCTTCTTCTGTACTTGTCCCTCACACTGTATCTACTGCAGATGATTAGTGATATCCTTCACCATTCCTGAGTGAGATGAGATTAAGTTGTTTCCCCACAGCACACCTTTTGCAGTGTGTTAATATGTTTTGCATACAGTAAGTCCCCGACCTATGAACGTTCGAGTTGCGAACTTTCACAGATGCAAACGGACCTCGCATTTACAAACATTCATAGATGCAAACAAATCGCAGAAGTAGCTCCTGTGTCTGCCGGATGTCCCAGTTGTGCTGCTGTGTGCTTACTGTCCAGTGCAATAGTGTACAGTAGTACAGGGCTGAATCAGAGCCCAGGGTGTCCGGGAGCAAGGGGAAAAGCAGTGGTGATGTGGAGGGGACTGCTGGGAAGCGCAAAGCAATAACCATGGAAACAAAAATGAAAATAATTGAGAGATTGGACTGAGGCGAAAAGATGGTAGACGTCGCTCTTATAACGTGAATCATTCAACCATTGGCTTTACATTGTATATTTGTATCAAAGGTGTATAAGATTCACTTTGTCGGACTTAACGAATGAATCCGACTTACGAATGTTCTCCTGGAACGGAACTCGTTCGTTAGTCGGGGACTTAACTGTACACTGAATATAATCTGCAAATTACCCTAGCTTCCAACAGGGACCTTTTGAAGGTGCTGTGAGGGCCTGATTGAAAATATTGCCTTGATTTCTCTGATTGTGTGTGTTGTTTCGCCCTCTCCTTGCTCTCCATCTTCTGAGAAATACGCAACCTGCTTTATCCTGTAGCTTTTGGTGACACTGTAGGAAATTAGAAGCCACTGTATCCTTTTAATTGTATTTTCAACCCTGGTGGCACAGTCAGGTTACCCTGGCAGGGCACGTGCCTCTAACAAACCCACATGCATGGTCCCCACTCAACAATAATTGTCATTGAAAGCCACCCTCCCCCAGGAGGCGATTCTGAAGGACAGTCTAAGTTGAGGGCGACTGCTCTCTGGAGTTCTTGGGGCTATATAGCTTTGCTTTTAAAAAAATGATGTTAAAATCCAAAAGAGAATCCCCATTACAATTTGGTGCAGGTCCCGGGGGAGGAGGTGGGAAGTCATTTTCCACCCCCTTACCCTATCGCAGGGTTTCTCAGCGTCAGCATTGTTTATGTTTTGGGCCATTGGGGGCCATCCTGTGCACTGTAGGGTGTTTAGCAGCATCCCTGGGCTCCACCCACTAGATGCCCCAGCACCTCCCCCAAGTTGTGACAACCATGAATGTCTCCAGACATTGCCAAGTGTCCCTGGGGAGCAAAATATCCCTCCTTTCCCCCTCCCCTCACTCCTGTTGAGAACCACTGTCCTAAAATGTAAACTCTTGGCTGGTTCCTTATGCAAGGTTTGTGCTAGCTCACTTTTCACCTATGAATTGAAGCATTGGGGTAGCTCTGAATGCAGAATCTAAAAACAAAGATGACTGAAGATAGCATGTACTTATGAGTCACAGATAGCTCATTCTATTCAAATATCTTCCGATTGCTCAAATTATAAAAATGTTTGCTTCTAGAAATATGAGCTTTTTTAATGTAAAAGACAAGAAAGCCATTAAACATGAATTTTATTTTCATTAATGGGAATTTTGTGTAGCTTCATCATTCCAAACTTAGCTCTCTTAAGCCTCCATTAATGAGACTAAGCTTTGATTTTTTTTTTCAGTCTGTTCTAAATCAAACCCTAACAAACTCTTTTCAATTAGACCAGAAAAGAGAAAACATGGCCTAAAAATGCCTCCTATAAACCACAGAAAATGGTCTTAAACAGTCCCATAATTCTTTCCTTATCACAATGGTGTATCTTGTCTGCTTGAAAAGAAGGAAAGGAAACTGTCTTAGATCCCTGAAACCAATGTGTGGCTGTCTGATCTTTTTCCAGGGCCCCCTTCTTTGATGCAGTTATGCCGCCTTAGAATCCGGAAGTCCTTTGGGATCCAGCTGAATCATAAGGTCTCCAAACTCTTCCTCCCGGAGGAGGTGAAAGAGTTCCTCCTACACGTTTAAATGTGTCCAAGGAATGGAGTCAGAAACAACAGACAAACCTTATGGAATGTTCCGGCCACTGGGATTTTCAAATAAAGTCAGGTTATAAAGCTTGGCTCATTTTCTCAATGGGATGTTTTCAGCGGAAGCACACTGGGTACCTTTGTATTATTGGTTGGAAGGCATGAAGACGTTTTTCCCTCTGGCCTGGAAGAGGATAGTTCAAAGATAACTATGGTTTTGTATATGTACTACATGCCAGACACTGAGCTAGGAACACTTTGTGCATCATCAGATTTAGCCCTCACAGCAACTCCACCAGCTGGGTACTATCGCCGCCCTTCTCCAGGTGACACACTGAGATCAGGGAGGTCATTTTGTCCAGTTACCCACAGCGAGGACAGGAAAACCAGATTTGAGGATAGGTTTTCTGATCCTGTCCTGGGAACTTGGGAGTGAGGTAGAATTTTCCAGTACCACTATCCTGGCTCCATCTGTGTTAACATGAGAAGGCACATAAAGAAGAAAGATGGTTTTTTGTCTACGTCTGACATTTTTTTCAGTTACAGTTGACATTTAATACTACTTTATATTAGTTTCAGGTGTACAGCATAGTGGTTAGGCATTTATATAATTTATGCACTGATCCCCCGATTAGTACCCACCTGGCACTACACACATAGTTGCTGACTTTTTTAAAAAAACCTTCGTTCTCACAACAAAACCACTACTGCTCTAGTATAGTATAGGGGCCAGTTCTTTTTCTCAACCCAAATATCTCACACATTAGGCACATTCTAGAACCGTGCTGTCCAATACAGTAGCTACTAACCCAGTTGCTGTCAACCAGGGGTAATTTTGCCCCCTATGGGACATTTGGTAATGTCTAGAGTCTTTTTTGGTTGTCACAGTGGTTGGGGGGTACTACTGGCATCCAGTGGATAGAGGCCAGGGCTGTTGCTAGACATCCTAAGATGCACAGGAGAGCCCTTACCACAAAGAATTACCCAGTTCAAACTGTAAATAGTGCCAAGGTTGAAAAACCCTACACTAGCCATATGTGGCTATTTTTAAAATGTAAGTTAAGATTAGATAAAATTAAAAATCCAGTTCCTCAGTGTCATTAGCCACATTTCGGGTGTTTAATAACCACACACAGCTAGTGGCTATTGTACAAGCACAGATATAGATCATTGCAGAAAGTTCTACGGCACTACTGTTGGCAGAAGTTTCTTTTGGAGAAGTTTTTTTTGGCCAGAACTCTTCAGATGCTCTTCAAACAGATTTTAACTGCCTTTCAGGTTCTGATTTACATGAGACTTGTGATATAATTTAGTAATGATGGCTGTAGTTTCAGCCCTCTCTGAGAGATTAATTTGGAGTTCCATTCCATCAATAGAAAGAAAATATTGTACCTACTTAAGTCACATCTTTACCTGTAAGATGACATATGGCCTAGATTATCTCTAAAGGTATTTTGGACATGATTTTCTGTGATTCTAAATTCAATTTGCCACTTGAAAGACTAGAAGATTGTTCTGAAGGGCCCAACTAGTTACCCAGCAGATGGCGCTGCTGCCACGTAGACACTAAAGCAAAAGGGTTGCGCGTCATAAATAACCCGTTGTAAGATGGTTTACCACATAGGCTCTGGAAATTTCCATTCGGGAATGCAAACTCGGTACTGATAAATTCCATTGACACCGGGTTTTCTTTTCCAATGTACCCCAAAATCCAAATGTGACTTTACAGAACCTCACTTCCCTGCTCCTTTTTTTTCCCTTCTTGGTCTGATCAGGTTTCCATTTACAACTGCTCAGAATTGAGACAGCCTCCTGCCACTTGCTAACTCATTTATTTTCATTAATTCGTTTACTCAGGAAATATGAGTGAGTGACTGTGTCTGTGATAGACGCTATTCTAGGCACCAGGCTGGCCTCAGGGAACGAGACAGGCAAAAATATTGATTTTCTGGATCTTACACTCTAGTCGGGGGAATCATTTGCTAAGGAGTAAGGAGCTGTAGGCATTTTGCTATAATTTTCTTTTTGAAAACACTAGTTTAAAAGATAGCCTGGTTTCTCATAGGAAATGTATTGGACAGATTCATATGTTAATCTTTTCTCGGCCAAATCCTCCGAGTTTAACCCAGGCCTGTGCAGAATTACTAGACAGCATTTTTCTTCTTAAATCTTCCAGATAATTAACCAATTTGCAAATCCAGATAATAGATGGTCATCTCTGCAAATGGGAAAAGCACCACCACCACCTCCCTCATTGCAATTTAGGGAAATTTCAAATTGCCTCATTTAGCAATGCTCGGAAAGAAGATTCTATTAAAATAGGAAGTCTATTTTTATGAGTCTAGATGTGGTTCTATTTATAAGCGGCATATACCTTTGAATGTTTTATCGTCACAATCTGGCACAACTTCATAAATTCTGTCATTAAAGCTGGTTCAGTGACATTTAATAGACTCCCACCTTCATGAATGAGGGATGTAAATTTTTAGGCTCATGAAACTATCTTTAAAAAAATACTTCGTCTTAGGGCGCCAATTTAGCACGTATTTGTTGTTAGCCCAGTCTCATATTGTCAGTGTCCTATGCCCTTGGTTTTCGCCAGTGGAAACGCTGAACAGTTTGTACACATCACTAGCACAATTCCTCTTATAATGAAGGAAGAAAGCAGAAGAGGCCAGGAAAGGACAATTGATTTATTTTGGGTTTATATGGGGGCTGATTGACATGGTCTGATACTCCATGTACAAGGCTGGAGTGGTTAGTCATTAAGCAGACATTTGGGGCTCCCAAACAAGGAGCAAGATATACTCAGCTGTCTATTCTGAGGCAGAGGGTTGGGCATTTATTATATGATGAAAGCCCAACGTTAGGGCTTGAGTATAAGACCCAGTCAGTATCAAAAGCATCTGCACAACAGCTCCCATTTCAGAGGGCTTGCTAGCGGCCAGGCCCCCATGCATCAGTGATTTGTAAGCCTTACCTCAAACCTGCACAACTCTGTCATCCCCATTTTATAGATGGGGATACAGAGGGGTTAAGGAATTTGCAAGTCACACAGGTGGTGAAGCCCCAGTTCACTGCAGAAGCCTGAGCTCTTTATCATTCTACTCTCTGCCTTCTATTTTATACAACCTCCAGAGCTCTGGTCCCTGGGTCCTGAAAACACCTGCCTAATTTCCCAGGGTCTTGGAAGTGAAGGTGGAGCCAAGTCTGTAGGTCAAAGGTCTCTGCATGATGTCAGGCAGCTGTGCCAGCTTTAGGCTGGTTATCAACCAGCCCTTTCCCCAGCCCATGAACCAGCCTGGGAGGCCCCAAACCTGCTGCCTCTTGGGGCAGGTGGGTCCGTCTTGTCCTGCCGGTGATGCTGGTGAGTACAAAACGCCTTTCCAGGGGACCAAGCCCAGTGTGGCAAATGAGATTTTTTTCTGAACTGAGAGTATTTTGTACTGATGGTCAGTGACAAAATCTTTTTCTGTAATGTGACGGGGTGGAGGGGAAGCTGCCTGGGTTTTGAAAAAAAATGTCTGGCTGCCGATTTGCTAGTTGTGTATGTTGGGTTTTTTCTTTTCTTTCTATCTTGCTATATTAGTGTTCTATTGCTGCATAACTAATTTTCACATGCTTAGTGGCTTAAAGCAATACAAAGCTATTGCATTATCTCATAGTCTCTGTAGGTCAGAAGTCCAGGCACGGTGTGACTGGATTCTCTGCTCAGAGCTGAAATGGAGGTGTTGGCTAGGGCTGCAGTTCTCGTCTGGGGCCTAGGGCGTCTTCGTTCAAGATCACTGGTTTTTGGCAGAATTCAATTCCTTGTGGTCACAGGACTCAGGTCCTTGTTTTCCTGCTAGCTGTCAGCTGAGCACTGCCTCAACATCTAGAGACCACCCAAATGTTCCCTACCCTGTGGCCCCCTCCATAGGAAGTTCACAACATGGGTTCTGGCTTTCTTCCAGGCCAGGTAGAGCGCATGCCCCTGAGTGGCTATGCTGCAGCCAGCTGGAGGAAACTATTTCTAAAGGGCTCACCTGATTAGGTCAGACCTACCTGGATCATCTGATTTGGGACCTTAATTACATCTGCAAAATCCCTTCAAATGAGCACCTATTTCCATACATTGCGTTTAATTGAATAACTGGCAGAAAGAGTGTGTATGCTAAAGTCCCTGAATCTTGGAGACCATCTCAGAATTATGCCTACCATACCTGCTCATGGCTAATAAGCATCAATTTTGTGTTGATTTTTCTGAAGCATGGACTTACTCTATAGCCACAGGAGGTCTGTCTTGTCAGGTGGCCCAGCAACCCCAAAATGTCAGAGGCACTCAACATCAGAGGCAGGATAAGGGGGCTTCCTCTTAGATATACCCTGGAGGCTTGTTCTGGTGACCCAAGAACTGGCACAACTAGGGCTTCCTGTGTCTTGCTCCAATCCCCGCTTTCAGGGTGTTTGGGCTGGGACTGAGGAAGTTACGCTCAGGTTTGGGTTCCGCTGTGGGCTCATCTTGATGAGGAACATGGCAAAATCCTTAGCATGGTCCCCTCAGTACAGAAAAGGACCCAACCTTCATGCTGTATCCTCCATGATGTGATGGAGGAGAACGTCCTACTGACCAGTCTACCCTCCAAGACCTTTAGACTCCTTCAAGTATACAAATTCTCACTGATTTGACAAGATTGATTTTCTCCCCTTTACTTTGTAAAATCTATTGTAAGGCAGAGGCAAGTAAAATTGATTTCAGCTCACTTTCCTCCCCACCCAAGGCCTCTTTGCTCACTCCTGGCGATATGTGATTTTTCAAGTTTCTATGCCCTTTTGAAAAGCTTGGTCTTTGTGGAGTACAGTGAAGTCAGGAGGTTCTACAGGCCAGTGTGGGAATTTTAATGTGATGTTTTAGGTGTTTAAGCTTCATTGGCTTAGAAGATACCTCTGTTGGAAGCCTAAGTATTTACATTGTAAGCATTGGGCTATGATCATGAAAACTGGAGGTGGTATTACCCTGCTTTTCATCCAGTTCACATTTCGTGCATTTTACATAAATAAGAAGGCACTTCAGAAAACCACCAGTGGAAATTTATTCCTCTGAGTTGC